TACACAAATAAAGCTGACTTGTGTGTATTTGTGTGTGTGTGTGTGTGTGTGTGTGAGCAGGAAGAGCGCCGTCTCTCCGGGATGAACTCGAGCAGCTCCTGCATCAGAGGATTCTGGTTCTGGACGGTGGAATGGGAACGATGATCCAGCAGAGGAACCTGGAAGAGGAAGATTTCAGAGGTCAAGAGTTCAAAGGTCATCCCAAGAGTCTGAAGGGCAATAATGACCTGCTGAGCATCACTCAGCCGGACGTCATCTACAGCATCCACAAGGTCTGTGTGTGTGTGACCACGGTCTCCTCTATAAACCTCTGCGTAGGATCAGCACTAAAAGTGAATCTGCACCCAAAAGCCAAAAATATCGTACATCAAAAAATATTCAGACTTATAAACCTGTGCGTACGCCAGAACCTGCGCAGAATGTTTATTAGAATATAAAAAATGTTGTAAAAAGATTTAATGTAAATGAAGTGCTTAACTCCATTAATGAGAATGGCATATTTAATATAAATGTGTATATCAGATGTAAAACAGTTTAAATCATTCTTTTATGTATTTAAACTGTTATTGTGAACTTCACTGTGTTTATGATATTAAAGTGGTTTTCCTTCATCAGTCGCTCAGATCATCATCGGTGTGGTTAAACTGATCCGTCTCCAGATGTTCGTACGCAGGATAAGAGTTACTCACAGATGCACTGACACACTCTCCCGTCAAGTGTGTGTTTACAGATCACAGCTCGTGTGTGTGTGTGTGCGCGCGCAGTGCATGTGATGTAGTTCAGGGGTTCTCAAACTTTGCGAGGGAACTCTTTCCTTACTAATTACTAGTTAAACACATTAACACATTCACACACCCGCCCCCTTCATACAAGTGAAGCAGGACACACAGGTTTTTCCTGTTTTCACTGTAAAGCTGCTTTGAAACAATGTGGAGTGTGGAGTGTGGAGTGTGGAGTGTGGAGTGAGGAGTGAGGAGTGAGGAGTGAGGAGTGTGGAGTGTGGAGTGTGGAGTGTGGAGTGAGGAGTGAGGAGTGAGGAGTGTGGAGTGTGGAGTCAGGCGTGTGGAGTGAGGCGTGTGGAGTGAGGCGTGTGGAGTGAGGAGTGTGGAGTGTGGAGTGTGGAGTGAGGAGTGTGGAGTGTGGAGTGAGGCGTGTGGAGTGTGGAGTGTGGAGTGTGGAGTGTGGAGTGTGGAGTGTGGAGTGTGGAGTGTGGAGTGAGGCGTGTGGAGTGAGGAGTGTGGAGTGTGGAGTGTGGAGTGTGGAGTGTGGAGTGTGGAGTGAGGCGTGTGGAGTGTGGAGTGTGGAGTGTGGAGTGTGGAGTGTGGAGTGTGGAGTGTGGAGTGAGGAGTGTGGAGTGTGGAGTGAGGCGTGTGGAGTGAGGCGTGTGGAGTGTGGAGTGTGGAGTGTGGAGTGTGGAGTGTGGAGTGTGGAGTGTGGAGTGAGGCGTGTGGAGTGTGGAGTGTGGAGTGTGGAGTGAGGCGTGTGGAGTGTGGAGTGTGGAGTGAGGAGTGAGGCGTGTGGAGTGAGGAGTGTGGAGTGTGGAGTGTGGAGTGTGGAGTGAGGAGTGAGGCGTGAGGAGTGTGGAGTGTGGAGTGAGGAGTGAGGCGTGTGGAGTGAGGAGTGTGGAGTGTGGAGTGAGGAGTGTGGAGTGAGGAGTGTGGAGTGAGGAGTGAGGAGTGTGGAGTGTGGAGTGAGGCGTGAGGAGTGAGGAGTGAGGAGTGAGGAGTGTGGAGTGAGGAGTGTGGAGTGTGGAGTGTGGAGTGTGGAGTGTGGAGTGTGGAGTGTGGAGTGAGGCGTGAGGAGTGTGGCGTGTGGAGTGAGGCGTGTGGAGTGAGGCGTGTGGAGTGAGGCGTGAGGAGTGTGGAGTGTGGAGTGTGGAGTGTGGAGTGAGGCGTGTGGAGTGAGGGAGTGTGGAGTGAGGCGTGAGGCGTGTGGAGTGTGGAGTGAGGAGTGTGGAGTGTGGAGTGAGGAGTGAGGAGTGTGGAGTGTGGAGTGAGGCGTGTGGAGTGAGGGAGTGTGGAGTGAGGCGTGAGGCGTGAGGCGTGTGGAGTGTGGAGTGAGGAGTGAGGAGTGAGGCGTGAGGCGTGTGGCGTGAGGAGTGAGGAGTGTGGAGTGTGGAGTGTGGAGTGTGGAGTGAGGCGTGTGGAGTGAGGGAGTGTGGAGTGAGGCGTGAGGCGTGTGGAGTGTGGAGTGAGGAGTGTGGAGTGAGGAGTGAGGCGTGAGGCGTGTGGCGTGAGGAGTGAGGAGTGTGGAGTGAGGCGTGTGGAGTGAGGCGTGAGGCGTGTGGAGTGAGGAGTGTGGAGTGAGGCGTGAGGCGTGTGGCGTGAGGAGTGAGGAGTGTGGAGTGTGGAGTGTGGAGTGAGGCGTGTGGAGTAAGGCGTGAGGCGTGTGGAGTGAGGAGTGAGGCGTGAGGCGTGTGGAGTGAGGCGTGTGGAGTGAGGCGTGTGGAGTGAGGCGTGAGGAGTGTGGAGTGAGGAGTGTGGAGTGAGGAGTGAGGCGTGTGGAGTGAGGCGTGTGGAGTGAGGCGTGTGGAGTGAGGCGTGTGGAGTGTGGAGTGTGGAGTGTGGCGTGTGGAGTGTGGAGTGTGGAGTGAGGAGTGAGGTGTGTGGAGTGAGGAGTGAGGCGTGTGGAGTGAGGAGTGAGGAGTGAGGCGTGAGGAGTGTGGAGTGAGGCGTGTGGAGTGTGGAGTGAGGAGTGTGGAGTGAGGCGTGAGGCGTGTGGAGTGAGGAGTGTGGAGTGAGGCGTGAGGCGTGTGGAGTGAGGCGTGTGGAGTGAGGCGTGTGGAGTGAGGCGTGTGGAGTGAGGAGTGAGGAGTGTGGAGTGAGGAGTGTGGAGTGAGGAGTGTGGAGTGAGGAGTGAGGAGTGTGGAGTGTGGAGTGAGGCGTGTGGAGTGAGGAGTGAGGCGTGAGGAGTGAGGAGTGTGGAGTGTGGAGTGTGGAGTGTGGAGTGTGGCGTGTGGCGTGTGGAGTGTGGCGTGTGGAGTGTGGCGTGTGGCGTGTGGCGTGTGGAGTGTGGCGTGTGGCGTGTGGCGTGTGGAGTGAGGCGTGTGGAGTGAGGAGTGAGGAGTGAGGAGTGAGGCGTGTGGAGTGTGGAGTGTGGCGTGTGGAGTGTGGAGTGTGGCGTGTGCCGTGTGGAGTGAGGCGTGTGGAGTGAGGAGTGAGGAGTGAGGAGTGAGGCGTGTGGAGTGAGGCGTGTGGCGTGTGGAGTGTGGAGTGTGGAGTGTGGCGTGTGGAGTGAGGCGTGTGGAGTGAGGCGTGTGGAGTGAGGCGTGTGGAGTGAGGAGTGAGGAGTGAGGAGTGAGGAGTGAGGCGTGTGGAGTGTGGAGTGTGGAGTGTGGCGTGTGGAGTGTGGCGTGTGGCGTGTGGAGTGAGGCGTGTGGAGTGAGGAGTGAGGAGTGAGGAGTGAGGAGTGAGGCGTGTGGAGTGTGGAGTGTGGAGTGTGGAGTGTGGAGTGTGGAGTGTGGAGTGTGGAGTGAGGAGTGAGGAGTGAGTATTGAGGCGTGAGTAGTGTGGAGTGAGGCGTGTGGAGTGTGGAGTGTGGAGTGTGGAGTGTGGAGTGTGGCGTGTGGAGTGAGGAGTGTGGAGTGAGGCGTGTGGAGTGAGGAGTGAGGAGTGAGGAGTGAGGAGTGAGGAGTGAGGCGTGTGGAGTGTGGCGTGTGGCGTGTGGAGTGTGGAGTGTGGAGTGAGGAGTGAGGAGTGAGGAGTGAGGAGTGAGGCGTGTGGAGTGTGGCGTGTGGCGTGTGGAGTGTGGAGTGTGGAGTGTGGAGTGTGGCGTGTGGAGTGAGGAGTGAGGAGTGAGGAGTGAGGAGTGAGGAGTGAGGAGTGAGGAGTGTGGCGTGTGGAGTGTGGCGTGTGGAGTGTGGAGTGTGGCGTGTGGAGTGAGGCGTGTGGAGTGAGGAGTGAGGAGTGAGGAGTGAGGAGTGAGGCGTGTGGAGTGTGGAGTGTGGAGTGTGGAGTGTGGAGTGTGGAGTGTGGAGTGAGGAGTGAGTATTGAGGCGTGAGGAGTGAGGAGTGAGGAGTGAGGCGTGTGGAGTGTGGAGTGAGGAGTGAGGAGTGAGTATTGAGGCGTGAGGAGTGAGGCGTGTGGAGTGAGGCGTGTGGAGTGTGGAGTGTGGAGTGTGGAGTGTGGAGTGTGGAGTGTGGCGTGTGGAGTGTGGAGTGAGGAGTGAGGAGTGAGTATTGAGGCGTGAGTAGTGTGGAGTGAGGCGTGTGGAGTGTGGAGTGTGGCGTGTGGAGTGTGGAGTGTGGCGTGTGGAGTGTGGCGTGTGGAGTGTGGAGTGTGGCGTGTGGAGTGAGGAGTGTGGCGTGTGGAGTGTGGCGTGTGGAGTGTGGAGTGTGGCGTGTGGAGTGAGGAGTGAGGAGTGAGGAGTGTGGCGTGTGGCGTGTGGCGTGTGGAGTGTGGAGTGTGGAGTGTGGAGTGTGGAGTGTGGAGTGAGGAGTGTGGAGTGAGGAGTGTGGAGTGTGGAGTGTGGAGTGTGGAGTGTGGAGTGAGGAGTGTGGAGTGTGGAGTGTGGAGTGAGGAGTGAGGAGTGAGGAGTGAGGAGTGTGGAGTGAGGCGTGTGGAGTGAGGAGTGTGGAGTGTGGAGTGTGGCGTGTGGAGTGAGGCGTGTGGAGTGTGGAGTGTGGAGTGTGGAGTGTGGCGTGTGGCGTGTGGCGTGTGGAGTGTGGAGTGTGGAGTGTGGAGTGTGGAGTGAGGAGTGAGGAGTGAGGAGTGTGGAGTGTGGAGTGTGGAGTGTGGAGTGTGGAGTGAGGAGTGAGGAGTGTGGAGTGAGGAGTGAGGAGTGAGGAGTGAGGAGTGAGGAGTGAGGAGTGTGGAGTGTGGAGTGTGGAGTGAGGAGTGTGGCGTGTGGCGTGTGGAGTGTGGAGTGTGGCGTGTGGAGTGTGGAGTGAGGAGTGAGGAGTGAGGAGTGTGGAGTGAGGAGTGAGTATTGAGGCGTGAGTAGTGTGGAGTGAGGCGTTAGGGTTAGACGTGGGAAGTGGCGTACGCACGGTTATAAATGAGGCCCCAGATGAGCTTTAAAAGACACAGAATATTAGTGATCTGAACTGATGATGACATCACTGTTTGCTTTACAGCTGAAACTGAACTGGTTTCATAATTGATGAACTTCTCACAGTTATTAAACTGAACTGAGTTCATCTGAACAATGACACTCTTGAGCTGCTTCTACATTTTGTTGTGATTTTATTCGTCAGCGCTGCTGTTCATTGCTCTAGTTTCTCACGGCACGTGTGTGTGTGTGTGTGCAGGAGTATCTGGAGGCCGGCGCGGACCTCATCGAGACGAACACCTTCAGTAGCACCAGCATCGCTCAGCAAGACTACGGCCTCGAGGATCTGGTGAACATTTGCTTTTATTATGTGTTTGACATTAAAGTGCCTCTGTATTACTTATGAGAGATTATATATTCCCTTTCACGTGTTTGTGAATGTAAAAGCTGAAGTTTTTGGCTCCTAATAGAAAGAAGCGATTCTGAACTGAAACGAGTCGTCAGTAATTCAGTCTCACTTCCTGCTGATCCTGCGTAGGTTTGTAACTAATTAGCATAATGCCCGCCTCTGGTCCTGATTGGCTGAACAGCGTCTCTTAGCTCCGCCCTCAAACACTGTAGTGTATCTGAGACTGGAAGAGTTCGGCTCGTGTTGTTCGTGTCGAGGAGACGCTGTTTTCTGAGATTGAGACGGTGAAACCCACGCCATCGTCACTGTTCGTATCACTGTGATCAAGAGCTGAGATTCAGATATGATAATGAGCGTTTGCTTTCTGACCAATCACAGCAGAGCAGCTCTCAGAGAGGCGGAGCTTAGAGAGACTGAATCCTCGATGGAAGCGTTTCAGACACTGAGAGGAAAGAGCTGAAGCTGATTGGAGATTATGAGGACATTACAGTGTTTATGACTTTACATGCATGTAAACATTAGCATTAGCACCCTAACAACATTAGCAAGCTTTAAAATAGCAAAACAGGGCACTTTAAATGATAAAGCATGATTTGTCGAGTCAGTAACGTGTGTGTGTGTGTGTTGTTGTGTGTCAGGCGTATCGGCTGAATAAAGCGTCTGCTGAACTGGCCCGGAGAGCGGCTGATGATGTCACAGCTCAAACAGGTCATACACACGTCAGTCTCTCTTCATCTGATCGTAGCGTGACGTTCGTAGCGTTCGTGACGGTGTTGTTGTCGTTGGCAGGTTGTAAGCGGTTTGTCGCAGGAGCTTTGGGTCCCACCAATAAAACCCTGTCTGTGTCGCCGTCAGTGGAGAGACCCGACTACAGGAACATCAGTAAGAGTGTGTGTGTGTGTGTGTGTGTGTGTCTGTGTCGCCGTCAGTGGAGAGACCCGACTACAGGAACATCAGTAAGAGTGTGTGTGTGTGTGTGTGTGTGTCTGTGTCGCCGTCAGTGGAGGAACATCAGTAAGAGTGTGTGTGTGTGTGTCTGTGTCGCCGTCAGTGGAGGAACATCAGTAAGACTGTGTGTGTGTGTGTGTGTGTGTCTGTGTCGCCGTCAGTGGAGAGACCCGACTACAGGAACATCAGTAAGAGTGTGTGTGTGTGTGTGTCGCCGTCAGTGGAGGAACATCAGTAAGACTGTGTGTGTGTGTGTCTGTGTCTGTGTCGCCGTCAGTGGAGGAACATCAGTAAGACTGTGTGTGTGTGTGTGTGTGTGTGTCTGTGTCGCCGTCAGTGGAGGAACATCAGTAAGAGTGTGTGTGTGTGTGTCTGTGTCGCCGTCAGTGGAGGAACATCAGTAAGACTGTGTGTGTGTGTGTGTGTGTCTGTGTCTGTGTCGCCGTCAGTGGAGGAACATCAGTAAGACTGTGTGTGTGTGTGTGTGTGTGTGTCTGTGTCGCCGTCAGTGGAGGAACATCAGTAAGACTGTGTGTGTGTGTGTGTGTGTCTGTGTCGCCGTCAGTGGAGGAACATCAGTAAGACTGTGTGTGTGTGTGTGTCTGTGTCTGTGTCGCCGTCAGTGGAGGAACATCAGTAAGACTGTGTGTGTGTGTGTCTGTGTCGCCGTCAGTGGAGGAACATCAGTAAGACTGTGTGTGTGTGTGTGTGTGTCTGTGTCGCCGTCAGTGGAGGAACATCAGTAAGACTGTGTGTGTGTGTGTGTGTCTGTGTCTGTGTCGCCGTCAGTGGAGGAACATCAGTAAGACTGTGTGTGTGTGTGTGTGTCTGTGTCGCCGTCAGTGGAGGAACATCAGTAAGACTGTGTGTGTGTGTGTGTGTGTCTGTGTCGCCGTCAGTGGAGGAACATCAGTAAGACTGTGTGTGTGTGTGTGTGTCTGTGTCTGTGTCGCCGTCAGTGGAGGAACATCAGTAAGACTGTGTGTGTGTGTGTGTGTGTGTCTGTGTCGCCGTCAGTGGAGGAACATCAGTAAGACTGTGTGTGTGTGTGTGTGTGTCTGTGTCGCCGTCAGTGGAGAGACCCGACTACAGGAACGAGTACAGAGAGAGTGATGAACACGTGCTGCTGTACGTCACATGTTTGTGTGTGTGTTCAGCTTTAGAATTACATCAGTAAGACAGAGAGAGAGAGTGTGTGAAGAACGTGTGCTGCTGTTCGTCACGCATGACGTGAGTGTGTGTGTGTGTGTGTGTGTGTGTTCAGCGTTCGATGAGCTGGTGGAGGCGTATGAGGAGCAGGTGAAGGGTTTGCTGGATGGAGGTGCTGATGTTCTACTGGTGGAAACCATCTTTGATACTGCTAATGCAAAGGTACGAGGACCTGACACACACCTGACACACACCTGACACGCACACCTGACACGCACCTGACACACACCTGACACACACCTGACACACACCTGACACGCACACCTGACACGCACCTGACACACACCTGACACACACCTGACACACACCTGACACACACCTTACGCACACCTGACACACACCTGACACACACCTGACACACACCTGACACACACCTGACACACACCTGACGCACACCTTACGCACACCTGACACACACCTGACACACACCTGACGCACACCTGACACACACCTGACACACACCTGACACACACCTTACGCACACCTGACACACACCTGACACCCACACCTGACACGCACACCTGACACACACACCTGACACACACACCTGACGGACACCTGACACGCACACCTGACACACACCTGACACGCACACGTGACACACACCTGACACACACCTGACACGCACACGTGACACACACCTGACGGACACCTGACACACACCTTACGCACACCTGACACGCACACCTTACGCACACCTGACACGCACACCTTACGCACACCTGACACGCACACCTTACGCACACCTGACACGCACACCTTACGCACACCTGATACACACCTGACACGCACATCTGACACACACCTTACACACACCTGACGCACACCTGACACACACCTGACGCACACCTGACACACACCTGACACGCACACCTGACGCGCACCTGACACGCACCTGACACACACCTGACACGCACACCTGACACACACCTGACGGACACCTGACACACACCTGTACACACCTGACGCACACCTGACACACCTGACGCACACCTTACGCACACCTGACACACACCTGACGCACACCTGACACGCACACCTGACACACACCTGACACGCACACCTGACACACACCTGACACACACCTTACGCACACCTGTACACACCTGACGCACACCTGACACACACCTGACGCACACCTGACGCACACCTGACACACACCTGACACACACACCTGACGCACACCTGACGCACACCTGACACACACCTGACACACACCTGACGCACACCTTACGCACACCTGACGCACACCTGACACGCACACCTGACACGCGCACCTGACACACACACCTGACACACACCTGACACGCACACCTGACACACACCTGACGCACACCTGACACGCACACCTGACGCACACCTGACGCACACCTGACACACACACCTGACGCACACCTGACGCACACCTGACACACACCTGACGCACACCTGACACGCACACCTGACGCACACCTGACACGCACACCTGACGCACACCTGACGCACATCTGACACGCACACCTGACGCACACCTGACACGCACACCTGACACGCGCACCTGACACACACACCTGACGCACATCTGACACGCACACCTGACACACACCTGACACGCACACCTGACGCACACCTGACACACACAATAATAATAATAATAATAATTCATTACATTTATATAGCGCTTTTCTCGGCACTCAAAGCGCTTCACATAGAAGGGCGAATCTCCTCAACCACCACCAGTGTGCAGCTCCACCTGGATGATGCGACGGCAGCCATATTGCGCCAGAACGCTCACCACACACCAGCTTACTGGTGGAGAGGAGACAGAGTGATGAAGCCAATCAGTGTATATATATATATATATAGGGATGATTAGGAGGCCATGATGGACAGAGGCCACTGGGCAAATTTGGCCAGGATGCCGGGGTTACACCCCTACTCTTTCGAAAGACATCCTGGGATTTTTAATGACCACAGAGAGTCAGGGCCTCGGTTTAACGTCGCATCCGAAGGATGGTGCTCTTTGACAGTATAGTGTCCCCGTCACTACACTGGGGCGTTAGGACCCACACAGACCACAGGGTGAGCACCCCCTGCTGGCCTCACTAACACCTCTTCCAGCAGCAACCTGGTTTTCTCAGAAGGTCTCCCATCCAGGTACTAACCAGGCTCAGCCCTGCTTACCTTCAGTGGGCAACCAGTCTTGGGCTACAGGCAGGGTGATATGGCTGCTGGCTGCTGGCACATCTGACACACACCTTACGCACATCTGACACACACCTGTACACACCTGTACACACCTGGCACACACCTGAACACACCTGACGGACACCTGAACACACCTGACATACACCTGAACACACCTAAACACACCTGAACACACCTGACATACACCTGACATACACCTGAACTACACCTGAACACACCTAAACACACCTGAACACACCTAAACACACCTGAACACACCTGACATACACCTGAACTACACCTGAACACACCTAAACACACCTGAACACACCTGACATACACCTGAACACACCTAAACACACCTGACATACACCTGAACACACCTAAACACACCTGAACACACCTGACATACACCTGACATACACCTGAACTACACCTGAACACACCTAAACACACCTGAACACACCTAAACACACCTGAACACACCTGACATACACCTGAACTACACCTGAACACACCTAAACACACCTGAACACACCTGACATACACCTGAACACACCTAAACACACCTGACGCACACCTGAACGCACCTGAACACACCTAAACACACCTGACGCACACCTGATGCGCACCTGACACACACCTGAACACACCTGACGGACACCTGACACACACCTGAACACACCTGACGCGCACCTGACACACACCTGAATACACCTGACGGACACCTGACACACACCTGAACACACCTGACGGACACCTGACACACACCTGAACACACCCGATGCGCACCTGACACACACCTGAACACACCTGACGGACACCTGACACACACCTGACATACACCTGAACACACCTGACGGACACCTGACACACACCTGAACACACCTGACGCGCACCTGACACACACCTGAACACACCTGACGGACACCTGAACACACCTGACATACACCTGAACACACCTGACATACACCTGAACACACCTGACGCACACCTGAACACACCTGAACACACCTGACGGACACCTGAACACACCTGACATACACCTGAACACACCTGACATACACCTGAACACACCTGACGCACACCTGAACACACCTGAACGCACCTGAACACACCTGACATACACCTGAACACACCTGACACACACCTGAACACACCTGACGCGCACCTGACACACACCTGAACACACCTGACGGACACCTGAACACACCTGACATACACCTGAACACACCTGACATACACCTGAACACACCTGACGCACACCTGAACGCACCTGAACACACCTGAACGCACCTGAACACACCTGACGCGCACCTGAACACACCTGACGGACACCTGACACACACCTGAACACACCTGACGCGCACCTGACACACACCTGAACACACCTGACGGACACCTGAACACACCTGACATACACCTGAACACACCTAAACACACCTGACATACACCTTAACACACCTGACGCACACCTGAACGCACCTGAACACACCTGATGCGCACCTGACACACACCTGAACACACCTGAACACACCTGACACACACCTGAACACACCTGACACTCACCTGAACACACCTGACACGCACCTGACACACACCTGAACACACCTGACGGACACCTGACACACACCTGAACACACCTGACGCGCACCTGAACACACCTGACGGACACCTGAACACACCTGACATACACCTAAACACACCTGAACACACCTGACATACACCTGAACACACCTGACATACACCTGAACACACCTGACATACACCTGAACACACCTGACATACACCTGAACACACCTGACATACACCTGAACACACCTAAACACACCTGAACACACCTGAACACACCTGACGCGCACCTGACACACACCTGACGCGCACCTGACACGCACTTGACACACACCTGACGCGCACCTGACACACACCTGAACACACCTGACGGACACCTGACACACACCTGAACACACACCAAGGTTATTATAGTTTTGCTTTTTTAAATTAGTTTTTATTTAATATCGTTTTCAATTTTGCTTTAAATATAAGTTTAGTTTTAGTTAGTTTCATTAATGGTATTGTTAGTTTTAGTTTAGTTTTTATTTTGCAAACACATTTCTATTTAGTTTTTATTTTATTTAGTTTCAGTTTTAGTTTTAGTAATTATAGTTTAGCAGAGCTAACAGAACACTTCCAGTGTAGACCAAAGCGAGACGATTAATTTCAGCAAAGTTTAATGTTTGCCCTGATTCAGTTAACTCTTGTGCAGACATCTTAATAATACAAATAAAATAATGGTTTGAGATTGAACAAAGCACCAAATAAATAGAACTTAAAAGTAGACAAGAAAAAAAATATGAAAAATTCAGACAAACTAATTCATATTAAAGATTAAATCTTGTTAAACATAGTTTACTTTTTTTCAGCTGTACATGTAGCAGAGTGGCCACTGGAACATAACAACAAAACAGCTCAATTTATCTGACTACAGCCAACACAACCTGCTGTGAAGCCAGTGTAATTAAATAATAAGTATCTATGCAGTGTGTGAGTGTGCACTGTCACTGTGTACATGTCTTTATATCCCGGTGGGGACTTAAACCTGAATGCACACAGACGCATGGGGACTCGTGTCACTTTGGGACCTATAGGTACACAAGCTTATAAATCATACAGAATGAGGTTTTTTTTTAAATGTAAAAATGGAGAAAGTTGTGTGTGAGATGGGTAAGTTTAGGGGTCTGTGTAGTGTGTGTGTGTGTGTGTGATGATGGGTCGGGTTAGTGTAAGGAGACAGAATATACTGTTTTACAGTATAAAAAAAACATTACGTCTATGGAGAGTCCCCACAAATATAGTGGACCAGACTGTCTCTGTCTGTGTGTGTGTGTGTGTGTGTGTGTGTGTGTGTATGCGCGTGCTTGTTGGTGTGTCGTGTCCTGGTATTTCCTAGAATCCCTACATTGTCAACGTTAATGAAAACATGATATCTCAAACATACAGAAGTACATTAAAGTTTTTTTGTGCTTGACGGACTTGTTTGCTGTTGCACCCGCGCATTGCAAACGGCATTCTAAAAACGCTGCGCTCAAGTTAAAAGAAGTTCAATTTGCGTCTCATTACCCATTCCACTGCCACAAACGCATCCTTTATGAACAGCCGATGTGTTCTACGATGTGTTCTACGTTACGGTCCTTCATTGAGCACGTCACGACACGTGGTTAATCGCCTCAGCAACTTCACACGGGTGAAGCGCCAGGCATTTCCCTAAACAGCCAGGTCAGATTTTCCGCCAAAGTAAAGAGCTTATTAATTACGAAAACGATTATTTATTTTTGCTCATTATTATTTTATTTCAGTTAGTTTTTCAGTAACTGTTGTTAGTTTCGTTTCGTTTTAGTTTTTCATTTATTATGAATTTTCAATTTTATTTCAGTTTACGAAAATGATTTTTGACCAATAGTTTTAGTCTTAGTTTCAGTTTTCGTTTACCAAAATAACCTTGGAACACACCTGACGCGCACCTGACACACACCTGAACACACCTGAACACACCTGAACACACCTGACGCGCACCTGACACACACCTGAACACACCTGAACACACCTGACACGCACCTGACACACACCTGAACACACCTGAACACACCTGAACACACCTGAACACACCTGACGCGCACCTGACACACACCTGAACACACCTGAACACACCTGACACGCACCTGACACACACCTGAACACACCTGAACACACCTGAACACACCTGAACACACCTGACGCGCACCTGACGCGCACCTGACGCGCACCTGAACACACCTGAACACACCTGACGCGCACCTGACGCGCACCTGACGCGCACCTGAACACACCTGAACACACCTGAACACACCTGAACGCACCTGAACACACCTGACACGCACCTGACACACACCTGAACACACCTGACGCGCACCTGACACACACCTGAACACACCTGACGCGCACCTGACACACACCTGAACACACCTGAACACACCTGAACACACCTGACGCGCACCTGAACACACCTGAACACACCTGAACACACCTGAACACACCTGAACACACCTGACACGCACCTGACACACACCTGAACACACCTGAACACACCTGACGCGCACCTGACACACACCTGAACACACCTGAACACACCTGACGGACACCTGACACACACCTGAACACACCTGCACACACCTGACACACACCTGAACACACCTGGTACACACCTGAACACACCTGCACACACCTGAACACACCTGACACACACCTGCACACACCTGACACACACCTGAACACACCTGGTACACACCTGAACACACCTGAACACACCTGAACACCTGAACACACCTGACACACACCTGACACACACCTGCACACACCTGCACACACCTGACACACACCTGGTACACACCTGGTACACACCTGACACACACCTGACACACACCTGACACACACCTGCACACACCTGCACACACCTGACACACACCTGGTACACACCTGGTACACACCTGACACACACCTGACACACACCTGACACACACCTGACACACACCTGAACACACCTGACACACACCTGAACACCACTGAGGCTTTCCATGCTTCCTGACTGATGATGACTCATCAGCAATTAAACTCATTAAACTCAACCAGGGGCTCAAGATGAATTATTTGGGTTCTTCTACATTTTTTGTGTATTATTTCTGTATGAACATTTACTGATGTGTGTGTTTCTATCAGGCGGCTTTATTTGCCATCGACAGACTGTTTGAAGAGAGTTATGAACCTCGACCGGTGTTAGTAAGTCACTCACTGTACCTGATCTTCTCACCTGTTTCTCGTGAGAGTGTGTGTGTGTGTGAGAGTGTGTGTGAGAGTGTGTGTGAGAGTGTGTGTGAGAGTGTGTGTGAGAGTGTTTGTGAGAGTGAGCGTGAGTGAGTGTGAAAGTGTGAGAGAGTGAGAGTGTGTGTGTGAGAGTGTGTGGTGAGAGTGTGTGTGTGAGAGTGTGTGTGTGAGAGTGTGTGGTGAGAGTGTGTGTGTGAGAGTGTGTGTGTGAGAGTGTGTGGTGAGAGTGTGTGTGTGAGAGTGTGTGTGTGAGAGTGTGTGGTGAGAGTGTGTGTGTGAGAGAGTGTGTGTGAGAGTGTGTGTGAGAGTGTGTGTGTGAGAGTGTGCGTGAGAGTGAGTGTGTGTGTGTGAGAGAGTGTGTGTGAGAGTGTGTGTGAGAGTGTGTGTGTGAGAGTGTGCGTGAGAGTGAGTGTGTAAGAGTCTGTGTGTTTGTTAGGCCAATTAATATATTGTTAAGTAATATCATGAAACGTGTGTGTGTGTGTGTGTGTGTGCAGATCTCAGGCACTATCGTGGATAAGAGCGGACGCACACTCTCAGGTCAGACGGGCGAGGCGTTCGTCATCAGCATGTCTCATGCTCAACCACTGTGGTGAGAATCTTCATCATCCTCTGCTCGTCTTCAGTCTCTCTGCAGTGAAGCGTTTGCTCCTCTCAGATCCTCTGAGACGTGTTCTCTGATGTTCTGTGTTCCAGCATCGGCCTGAACTGCGCTCTGGGAGCCAGTGAGATGCGGCCCTTCATCGAGGCCATCGGGAAGAGCACAGGCGCGTTCGTCATCTGTTACCCGAACGCTGGTGAGTCTCACACACACACACACACACCACTGTTGATGAATAACGCTGGATGCACACACACGACCAGTCAAATAAATAATATTTTACAATATTACTTTTTTTTTTGTTGTATTTTTAATCAAATAAACACAGCCGTGGTGAGCAGAAGAGACTACTTTTAAAAACATAAAAAATCTTACCGATCCAAAACTTTTGACCGGTAGTGTGTGTATGCGATGTTATGATGAAATATGGAATTATTAACTGGACGTTTCTGAGGACAGTTTGAGATGATTATTGTCCAGCACTGCATATGTTCAGTGTTCTGCGTCTCTGATCTGTGTTTTCAGGGCTTCCCAACACATTCGGAGGCTACGACGAGACGCCCGAGGTCACAGCGGGGCATTTAAAGGTAACGCAGCGATACACAGACGTGTGTGTGTGTGTGTGTGTGTGTGTGTCCGGGGAGTTTCTCATGACACACACACTATATTCCCGCAGGAGTTCGCTGTGGACGGATTGGTGAATATTGTTGGCGGCTGCTGCGGAACGACACCCGATCACATCCGGTGTGTGTGAGAGATTCATCCAGACCTCAGAGTGTGTGTTAGTGTTGAGATCGCTGAACTCAAGTGTGTGTGTGTGTGTTTCAGGGCGATTGCTGAAAGCGTGCGTCATGTTAAGCCCAGAGTTCCTCCCACAGACGTGTTCAGTGGTTATATGCTTCTGGCAGGTGCGTCTGAAAGCTCCTCCTAGAATTAGCTCTTGGTGTTTAGCGTTTAACTGTCTTTATCAGCTCTGAACTGAAATTCATGAATGCTTTGGAACACACACGCAGATTATTGCACTTCAGAAAAGAAAAGTGTAAAAAACGTTACAGAGGTTTAGGTTTATTGTAAAGCAAATGCACTGAAGTAGATGTTTTTATTTGATAAAATATATATATATATATATTACAAAATAATTTGTACTCTAAAATTGCTATAAAAGTAAAGCCACATTTCTAACCAAGTTGTGTTCCGAATTTAACACACACACACACACTCTCTCTCTCTCACACGCAAACACACACACACACACACACACACTCTCACACTCTCTCTCTCTCTCTCTCTCTCTCTCTCTCTCTCTCTCTCACACGCGCGCACACACACACACACACACTCTCACACGCGCGCACACACACACACAACTCTCTCTCACACGCAAACACACGCGCGCGTACACGCACACATACACGCGCGCACACACTCTCTCATGCACACACACACACACACACACACACACACACACTCTCTCACGCACACGCACACGCACACACACACACTCTCTCACGCACACACACACGCGCACACACACTCTCTCACGCACACACTCTCTCACGCACACACACGCACGCGCACACACACACGCGCACACACACTCTCTCACACACACACACTCTCTCATGCACACACACACACACTCTCACGCACACACACACGCGCACACACACTCTCTCACGCACACACACACACACACACACGCACGCGCACACACACTCTCTCACACACACACACTCTCTCATGCACACACACACACACACACACTCTCTCACGCACACACATACGCGCAAACACACTCTCTCACACACACACGCGCACACACACGCACGCGCACACACACACACACACTCTCTCACGCACACACACTCACACACACTCTCACTCTCCATGTGTGACGTTGTGTGTGTGTCTCAGGTCTGGAGCCGTTCAGGATCGGCCCGTACACAAACTTCGTGAACATCGGTGAGCGCTGCAACGTCGCCGGATCGCGCAGGTTTGCCAAGCTCATCATGGCGGGACAGTATGAGGTTTGATTTACTGATATCATCCTTTAAATATAACATACAATCAAATCCAGACGGCTGGCGAACATCCACAGAACATTAACCCTTAACTGCACGAATGATTCAGCAAGCATGATTACATCATCGGGTCTTCAGCGACCCGTTCTCTGTCTAACACAGATGATCTCTAACTGCCGTATAGAACACTCCTGATATCTTAAAGGGGTCATGAACTGGCTTTTTAAATTGTGTTATATTGTTGTCTGAGGTCAAATTATGACGTTCGCTTGGTTTTTACATTCAAAAACATCCAAATGAATAAGTAATAGGCTATTTTCTACCCTAGTTTTGAGCCTAGCTCAAAAACGCTCGGTTTTTATGGGCGTCTCGCATTGAAGACTTGGAAGTAAACGCCCACTGCTTTGAGTGGATAACAGTTTTGCATATTATAATGAGTTTCGTGTAATGCGCGAATCGGTGGGCGGGGCTAAACCGGCCGTGTTGAAGTAGGCGTTGATCTTCTTCTGCGGGGGTGGTGTTTGATCCTCTTTGTCGTCATAGTTCCCCAGTTTGAAAAACGAGTCGTTTGCTGAGCCTGGTGTCAATAAAAGCTTTTATTGGACTAACAAGGACGTTTTCAGTTCTGAAACTTACAGGATATTCTTATAATTTGATGACCTCTTAGATGTCAAAAGCTCAAGGAAAATTTGATTTCTGTTCATCACCCCTTTAAACAAAAGAATAAGATAAAGCTTATTTCGTTACCTTTTTGATCAGATGTTTTCCCCATCATCATCACTGTCCTCATCAGAGCTCATTTCTCCAGTACATACAGCATCTGCTCATATTCACCATCTCAAAGTGTGTATCAGACAGCGCCACCTTGAGGAATAAAGCTGAATTTCACTTATTGAGTCATCAGAGATTCAATTGTTGCGCAAAAAAAAATACTTGCACTATTACATTCCTCGGGTCACTGGAGACCCTACACAAATTTATTAGAAAACAGACATTCTTTTATAATTAAATATTGTTACATTGTGTGTAATGAATAAAGAAGGTTGATGTGTAACTTTAAGAAATAATGAAAGCTCTCTCTCTCTCTCTCAGGAGGCGTTGAGCATCGCTAAAGCTCAGGTGGAGATGGGCGCTCAGGTTCTGGACATCAACATGGACGAGGGGATGCTGGACGGACCCGCTGCGATGACCCGCTTCTGTAACCTGATCTCCTCTGAGCCCGACATCGCCAAGGTCCAGCACACACACACACACACACACACACACACATTCACATGAAGCTCCATATCAGTGTGAAGAACAGAAATTACAGTGTCATTATAAGCAACATTTATTATTATAGAAGCTTGTTTCTGACAACTTTTTATCTCGCAGTTCAGACTTTATTTCTCGCAATTGCAACTGAACCGGTGACCTCTGGTGACCTCTGACCTCTGATGACCTCTGACCTCTGCAGGTGCCGCTGTGCATCGACTCGTCGAACTTCGCTGTGATCGAGGCGGGTCTGAAGTGCTGTCAGGGCAAAGGCATCGTGAACAGCATCAGCCTGAAGGAGGGCGAGGAGGAGTTCCTGCGGCGAGCGCGTCAGGTCCGTCGCTACGGCGCCGCGGTGGTCGTCATGGCCTTCGATGAGGAAGGACAGGTGCGTTATTCGCAGATTACAGTTTGAGTTCATTTAATAAGTGTTGATTACAATTTTGATGAATGTTGGGAACCAAACAATTTTGGACCCCATTGACTTTCATTAAATGGACAAAAACGACATTTCTTAAAGTCCCCGTAAAGTCAAAATTAAGTATGTGTTCTGAGTTTGTCACACCACAGAAAAATGTGTTATTAGCCACCCAGCCAAATTTGAATGATAAAAAAAGCCGGCAAGTACATAAAATAAGCTATCAAAATCTTGAAAAAATGAGCAGTTTTCTCTGCTCTCAAACGCTGGGGGCGTGTCCGCTGGCTGCGCTGAAACCACGCCCACTCGCGGGAAAGCTGCACTCGACGGGACCCGCTACAGCCGAAATGGATGCTCCTAGCAGCTTATTAGGTTATACCAAGCCATATTTGTTTGAGCCTCCAGAGCCTGAATCCGATTCAGAAGACATTGACCAAGGAAGTCAACATCGTCCCCCTCGCTCTGCAACAGAATGGTAAATTTTTTCTCTCCCTTTTATGCAAGTTAGCTAAGTTATATGTAAGTAAACGTTAACTAGCTTAACCTAACTTAGACAAATAAAGTTAGACTAGCAATAAATAACAGAAAAAAACAACATATTTTTACACCTTATAGTTATAGATCAAACTAAGTTAGACTAGCAATAAACAACTGATTAAAAAATATATTTACACTTTATAGTTATAGATCAAACTAATAGCCATCATGGTTGTTATATTAACGATAAATTGATGTGCATAAATCCATTAGATAAGGGACTGCTTTGTGAACAGATACTAGTTTAAATTACTTGGCTAAGGAATTTTGATCATATAACGTTAAATAAAAATCACGTTAGAGGGTTGCAGAATTTAGTAGTTACAGTGGACTACCTACTATAATTATAACAAGCACACAAGGCAACTTACACTCATTGGTGGGCACGCATTGCCGATGATGGCGCCAGTTGTCGGCGGGACGGGAGGATGAAGGCCGAGGCGAGAGATAGTCGGTGCGGCACCTTTCACCAGTAACAACGGATTATCTGTGAATCCCAGTTGTCTCCGACGAAAGTTTATAAAACTATCACGAGTAAAATGATCACTACAGAGGCGGGTTTGGCTGGTGATCCTCAGCTCTCCATCAAGGTGGCTCTTCACAAAATTAATCCACCTCTTCTTGATGTCGTCGTTTTTAGGAAATTTAAACAAGGACACCGATCTGTTTTGCAAATGATTGCATCCAAGTAGTACGCATTTCCGTGACGAAGGCATGGCTAGATAGCAAACTGTAGGCTGTAGTAACTGATAATAGTACTGACAGTAACTCGCAAATGAGCGCCAAACTGATGCGAATGTGCTCTATTTATATTGTTAGAGGGATCAGTATCAGTGCGTCATCGAGTAGGGGCGTGTCCAAGAGCTCCAGTGCGTCATCGAGCCCTGTTTTAGACCCGCCCAAAAAATCCGTGAAATTGCCAGGGTGAAAAACTGTTTAACGGTCTAACTCCACAATTCAGTACTTCACAGTTCACAGTCTTTGTAATATGTTTTAGCAATACATTTCTAACCTTTAGAATGTGTTTAGAATGTTTTGTTAAAATTGCCTTTACAGGGACTTTAAAGTATCTTCCTCTGTGTTGTCCACAAAAAATAAAGTCTGAGTGAACTAGTTCTTTAAAGATGCTTAACTTGAACTCTTTCTAACACATCTTTAATGGACACACTGACATCTGTGAGAACAGTTACCCAAAACAACACTTCATATTCTGATAATATTTCTGCTTATGTGAGAATCCTGAGGTCATTAAGACTTTATTATTCTAAACGTCTTTGACTCTATAAACGACCGTCTGGATTATTGCTTGTTCCACATTTAACTTTTTTTTTTAACATTTATGCTGATTCTAAGCAGTTTAAATAAATGCATTTTGATTCATATTTCAATCAAAATGCATTTATTTAAACTGCTTAGAATCAGCATAAATATGTTCATTGTGAAACAATTATGTTAATATACAATTATTTAAATACAATCAAATAGATGCAAATAGTTAATAATAAACAATGCCATGATTTTGTGTGCTGAAATCTGATCTGTTTCATGAATGACAAATATGCGTGTTGATTAGTTTGTTAAAATTGTGAATTATTCAATTCAAATATACATAAATCTTAAATTTAGGTCTAAATATATATATTTTTAAAAGATTATGTTCTGTTTTAGGCCATTGTTCAGCTAATTCCCTGTAAAGTCTCCTTCATTTATACAGCGCTTTTTACAATACAGATTTTTTCAAAGCAGCTTTACAGAGATAACAGGAAAATAATAAGATTGTACAGCAGATCTAGAAGAAAGTTATTGTCCAACTTGAGTAAGTTTTTGATAGTATATGTTATGTGTGTGTGTGTGTGTGTGTGTATAGTGAAGGAGAGAGACCTTGACCTAACATTACAGACACTACATGCTAAATATAAAAAGCTCCTCTAAATAATGAGTGTTGAAGCATGAGTGTGAGAGTGAATCTGCTGACGTGTGTGTGTGTGTGTGTCCAGGCGACTGAGACGGATCAGAAGGTGCGGATCTGTGCGAGAGCCTATCAGCTGCTGATCAGTGAGGCGGGCTTCAACCCCAATGACATCATCTTTGACCCGAACATCCTGACCATTGGCACCGGCATGGAGGAGCACTGCATGTACGCCGTCAACTTCATCAGAGCCACACGCAGCATCAAGGTCTGTCACACACACACACACACACACACACAAATCATTTATTTTAAGTGGACTTAAATAAGTTGTTAAATGTGTGTGTAGGAGAGTCTGCCGGGCGCGAGGATCAGCGGTGGCCTCTCCAACCTCTCGTTCTCCTTCAGAGGGATGGAGGTCATCAGGGAAGCCATGCATGGAGTGTTTCTCTACCACGCCATCAAGGTCAGTCTCAGCTCAGTCTCCGCTCAGTCTCAGCTCAGTCTCAGCTCAGTCTCAGCTCAGTCTCAGCTCAGCTCAGCTCAGTCTCAGCTCAGTCTCAGCTCAGCTCAGTCTCAGTCTGGGCTCAGTCTCGGCTCAGCTCAGGCTCCGTCTCAGCTCCGTCTCAGCTCCGTCTCAGCTCCGTCTCAGCTCCGTCTCAGCTCCGTCTCAGCTCCGTCTCAGCTCAGCTCAGTCTCAGTCTGGGCTCAGTCTCGGCTCAGCTCAGGCTCCGTCTCAGCTCAGTCTCAGCTCAGTCATCCCTCAGCTCAGGCTCAGTCTCAGCTCAGCTCAGTCTCAGCTCAGTCTCAGCTCAGTCATCCCTCAGCTCAGGCTCAGTCTCAGCTCAGCTCAGTCTCAGCTCAGTCTCAGCTCAGTCTCAGCTCAGTCTCAGCTCAGTCATCCCTCAGCTCAGGCTCAGTCTCAGCTCAGCTCAGCTCAGTCTCAGCTCAGTCTCAGCTCAGTCATCCCTCAGCTCAGGCTCAGTCTCAGCTCAGTCTCAGCTCAGTCAGTAAAACAGGTCAACACTCACTCACACACTAGTGTCCTAGAACTGCAGTCCTGAAACTGGGATCCTGATATTTAATGGATAAGAAGGTTTATCCTTGTACAAACTCATGAGCAACAGTAAACGTGTGTGCGCGTGCGTGTGTGTGTGTTTGTGTGCGTGTGTGTGTGCAGGATGGCATGGACATGGGGATCGTGAACGCTGGTAATCTGCCGGTGTATGACGACATTGATAAAGAGCTCCTGCTGCTCTGTGAGAACATCATCTGGAACCGAGACCCAGACGCCACAGAGAAGCTCCTGCTGTACGCTCAGGTACTGTAGAGCCCGAACCAGAACCCGAGACCGGTACCATCCGCTCAGAACCAGAACCATCCGCTCTAAACCAGAACCATCCGCTGAAATATGTTAAGAGATCTCAGATCAGCTGAGAGAATCATGAACTGTGTTGTTGACTGAAGTGTCCGTCTGTTCCTCATGTTGATGTGTTCTGCTGTGTGTAGAATAACGCTAAAGGAGGAAAGAAGGTTGTTCAGACGGATGAGTGGAGGAGCAGCAGCGTGGAGGAGCGGCTGGAGTACGCACTCATCAAGGTCAGTCCACACACACACACACACACACACTTCCTTTCACTACGCATAACACACAATCAGAGGATAGAGAGACCAGACCAAGCGCAACCTTCTCGTCCCTCTCTTGAATCCGACACTGAGTGAGTTAACCTGCAGTTCCTCCACTGGCCACTAGAGGCCGGCTGCAGAAGAGACTCAGTCCCATAGACCCGCATGTTAAAATGCCCAACTTTACAGCAGAAAAACACGTTTACAATCTGGTGTTAAAAGTGGTTTTGGTCTATATCGCTAATGTTGCCCTTCATAACGACTGTGAGGGGGTGAAGTTTTTTATAACTCATCCGTTTAAATTATATTAAGCCTTAAAGTTGTGCATAATTAAGGGCGTGGCCACTTGAGTGACAGGTGGATTGCCGCTGATGTCACTGCTAGCCGTTTGTCTGCTGTGCGTTAGCATCACGTCACCTCAGCTAATCCGCCTCGCTGCACATTGTCGTTTATCCGGGAGTGACGCGCAGCCAAGATGGTGACGGCTGGCTCCGCCCACTTTGGGCTTCAAAAACGCTCTTCAGAAACACTACGGGTGACGTCACACACACTACGCCCATTTTTATACAGTCTATGGACCAGACATAATGAAGCTGTGTGCGTGTGTGTGTGTGTGTGTGTTCTCAGGGAATAGAGAAGCATGTGGTGGAGGACACTGAGGAGGCTCGTCTTCACTCGGACCGGTATCCCCGGCCGCTGCATGTGATCGAGGGGCCGCTCATGAATGGCATGAAGACGGTCGGAGATCTGTTCGGGGCCGGGAAGATGTTCTTACCTCAGGTACTGGAGACACACACACCTCACCGAAACACTGATGATGAAGATGGTATCAATTCATATTGATAAGCTCGCTTACATCAGCAGAGAAGCTGAAGACATGCCCAAATTCCTTTACAGTTTATAATTAAAACACATATAGCGGTGTAACGATTCCCTCATGTCACGATACTGAACTCACGAAACAATATTATTGCGATACTCCAAGACATATGGTGAAAGGTTAACAAAAAATTCCCCCATTGCATTATTATACATTATATTCAACATTATATAGTAGTTTAATGTAGTACTGACACTAAAACTCTGAAAACTTTATTTTTTTTCTTACAGTCATTTTTATTTTGGGTGAACTATACATACACTCACCGGCCACTTTATTAGGTACCCCATGCTAGTAACGGGTTGGACCCCCTTTTGCCTTCAGAACTGCCTCAATTCTTCGTGGCATAGATTCAACAAGGTGCTGGAAGCATTCCTCAGGGAGTTTGGTCCATATTGACATGATGGCATCACACAGTTGCCGCAGATTTGTCGGCTGCACATCCATGATGCGAATCTCCCGTTCCACCACATCCCAAAGATGCTCTATTGGGTTGAGATCTGGTGACTGTGGAGGCCATTTTAGTACAGTGAACTCATTGTCATGTTCAAGAAACCAATTTGAAATGATTAGAGCTTTGTGACATGGTGGAAGTAGCCATCAGAGGATGGGTACATGGTGGCCATAAAGGATGGACATGGTCAGAAACAATGCTCAGGTAGGCCGTGGCATTTAAACGATGCCCAATTGGCACTAAGGGGCCTAAAGTGTGCCAGGAAAACATCCCCCACACCATTACACCACCACCACCAGCCTGCACAGTGGTAACAAGGCATGATGGTTCCATGTTCTCATTCTGTTTACGCCAAATTCTGACTCTAACATCTGAATGTCTCAACAGAAATCGAGACTCATCAGACCAGGCAACATTTTTCCAGTCTTCAACTGTTCAATTTTGGTGAGCTCTTGCAAATTGTAGCCTCTTTTTCCTATTTGTAGTGGAGATGAGTGGTACCCGGTGGAGTCTTCTGCTGTTGTAGTCCATCCGCCTCAAGGTTGTGCGTGTTGTGGCTTCACAAATGCTTTGCTGCATACCTCGGTTGTAACGAGTGGTTATTTCAGTCAAAGTTGCCCTTCTATCAGCTCGAACCAGTCTGGCCATTCTCCTCTGACCTCTGACATCAACAAGGCATTTCCGCCCACAGAACTGCCGCTCACTGGATGTTTTTTCTTTTTCGGACCATTCTCTGTAAACCCTAGAGATGGTTGTGCGTGAAAATCCCAGTAGATTAGCAGTTTCTGAAATACTCAGACCAGCCCTTCTGGCACCAACAATCATGCCACGTTCAAAGTCACTCAAATCACCTTTCTTCCCCATACTGATGCTCGGTTTGAACTGCAGGAGATTGTCTTGACCATGTCTACATGCCTAAATGCACTGAGTTGCCGCCATGTGATTGGCTGCTTAGAAATTAAGTGTTAACGAGCAGTTGGACAGGTGTATCTAATAAAGTGGCCGGTGAGTGTATATTGATATATTGTGACAATATTGACAGTATATATAAAGACAGTAGTGGAGTCCATCACGGGCCGGTGTGTGTGTGTCCCTGTAAGACAGTAGTGGAGTCCATCACGGGCCGGTGTGTGTGTCCCTGTAAGATAGTAGTGGAGTCCATCACAGGCCGGTGTGTGTGTGTCCCTGTAAGACAGTAGTGGAGTCCATCACGGGCCGGTGTGTGTGTGTGTCCCTGTAAGACAGTAGTGGAGTCCATCACGGGCCGGTGTGTGTGTCCCTGTAAGACAGTAGTGGAGTCCATCACGGGCCGGTGTGTGTTTGTCCCTGTAAGACAGTAGTGGAGTCCATCACGGGCCGGAGTGTGTGTCCCTGTAAGACAGTAGTGGAGTCCATCACGGGCCGGAGTGTGTGTGTCCCTGTAAGACAGTAGTGGAGTCCATCACGGTCTGGTGTGTGTGTCCCTGTAAGACAGTAGTGGAGTCCATCACGGGCCGGTGTGTGTGTCCCTGTAAGACAGTAGTGGAGTCCATCACGGGCCGGAGTGTGTGTGTCCCTGTAAGACAGTAGTGGAGTCCATCACGGGCCGGTGTGTGTGTGTGTCCCTGTAAGACAGTAGTGGAGTCCATCACGGGCCGGTGTGTGTGTGTCCCTGTAAGACAGTAGTGGAGTCCATCACGGGCCGGTGTATGTGTCCCTGCAAGACAGTAGTGGAGTCCATCACGGGCCGGTGTGTGTGTGTGTCCCTGTAAGACAGTAGTGGAGTCCATCACGGGCCGGTGTGTGTGTGTGTCCCTGTAAGACAGTAGTGGAGTCCATCACGGGCCGGAGTGTGTGTCCCTGTAAGACAGTAGTGGAGTCCATCACGGGCCGGAGTGTGTGTCCCTGTAAGACAGTAGTGGAGTCCATCACGGGCCGGTGTGTGTGTCCCTGTAAGACAGTAGTGGAGTCCATCACGGGCCGGTGTGTGTGTCCCTGTGAGACAGTAGTGGAGTCCATCACGGGCCGGTGTGTGTGTGTGTCCCTGTAACACAGTAGTGGAGTCCATCACGGGCCGGTGTGTGTGTCCCTGTAAGACAGTAGTGGAGTCCATCACGGGCCGGTGTGTGTGTCCCTGTAAGACAGTAGTGGAGTCCATCACGGGCCGGTGTGTGTGTCCCTGTAAGATAGTAGTGGAGTCCATCACAGGCCGGTGTGTGTGTGTCCCTGTAAGACAGTAGTGGAGTCCATCACGGGCCGGTGTGTGTGTCCCTGTAAGACAGAAGTGGAGTCCATCACGGGCCGGTGTGTGTGTGTGTCCCTGTAAGACAGTAGTGGAGATCCATCACGGGCCGGTGTGTGTCCCTGTAAGACAGTAGTGGAGTCCATCACGGGCCGGTGTGTGTGTGTCCCTGTAAGACAGTAGTGGAGTCCATCACGGGCCGGTGTGTGTGTCCCTGTAAGACAGTAGTGGAGTCCATCACGGGCCGGTGTGTGTGTCCCTGTAAGACAGTAGTGGAGTCCATCACGGGCCGGTGTGTGTGTCCCTGTAAGACAGTAGTGGAGTCCATCACGGGCCGGTGTGTGTGTGTCCCTGTAAGACAGTAGTGGAGTCCATCACGGGCCGGTGTGTGTGTCCCTGTAAGACAGTAGTGGAGTCCATCACGGGCCGGTGTGTGTGTGTCCCTGTAAGACAGTAGTGGAGTCCATCACGGGCCGGTGTGTCTGTGTCCCTGTAAGACAGTAGTGTAGTCCATCACGGGCCGGTGTGTGTGTCCCTGTAAGACAATAGTGGAGTCCATCACGGGCCGGAGTGTGTGTCCCTGTAAGACAGTAGTGGAGTCCATCACGGGCCGGTGTGTGTGTCCCTGTAAGACAGTAGTGGAGTCCATCACGGGCCGGTGTGTGTGTCCCTGTAAGACAGTAGTGGAGTCCATCACGGACCGGTGTGTGTGTCCCTGTAAGACAGTAGTGGAGTCCATCACGGGCCGGTGTGTGTGTGTCCCTGTAAGACAGTAGTGGAGTCCATCACGGGCCGGTGTGTGTGTGTCCCTGTAAGACAGTAGTGGAGTCCATCACGGGCCGGTGTGTGTGTGTCCCTATAAGACAGTAGTGGAGTCCATCACGGGCCGGTGAGTGTGTGTCCCTGTAAGACAGTAGTGGAGTCCATCACGGGCCGGTGTGTGTGTGTCCCTGTAAGACAGTAGTGGAGTCCATCACGGGCCGGTGTGTGTGTACCTGTAAGACAGTAGTGGAGTCCATCACGGGCCGGTGTGTGTGTGTCCCTGTAAGACAGTAGTCGAGTCCATCACGGGCCGGTGTGTGTGTGTCCCTGTAAGACAGTAGTGGAGTCCATCACGGGCCGGTGTGTGTGTGTGTCCCTGTAAGACAGTAGTGGAGTCCATCACGGGCCGGAGTGTGTGTCCCTGTAAGACAGTAGTGGAGTCCATCACGGGCCGGTGTGTGTGTCCCTGTAAGACAGTAGTGGAGTCCATCACGGGCCGGTGTGTGTGTGTCCCTGTAAGACAGTAGTGGAGTCCATCACGGGCCGGTGTGTGTGTCCCTGTAAGACAGTAGTGGAGTCCATCACGGGCCGGTGTGTGTGTGTCCCTGTAAGACAGTAGTGGAGTCCATCACGGGCCGGTGTGTGTGTGTCCCTGTAAGACAGTAGTGGAGTCCATCACGGTCTGGTGTGTGTGTCCCTGTAAGACAGTAGTGGAGTCCATCACGGGCCGGAGTGTGTGTCCCTGTAAGACAGTAGTGGAGTCCATCACGGGCCGGTGTGTGTGTCCCTGTAAGACAGTAGTGGAGTCCATCACGGGCCGGTGAGTGTGTGTCCCTGTAAGACAGTAGTGGAGTCCATCACGGGCCGGTGTGTGTGTCCCTGAAAGACAGCAGTGGAGTCCATCACGGGCCGGTGTGTGTGTGTGTGTCCCTGTAAGACAGTAGTGGAGTCCATCACGGGCCGGTGTGTGTGTGTCCCTGTAAGACAGTAGTGGAGTCCATCACGGGCCGGAGTGTGTGTCCCTGTAAGACAGTAGTGGAGTCCATCACGGGCCGGAGTGTGTGTCCCTGTAAGACAGTAGTGGAGTCCATCACGGGCCGGAGTGTGTGTGTCCCTGGAAGACAGTAGTGGAGTCCATCACGGTCTGGTGTGTGTGTCCCTGTAAGACAGTAGTGGAGTCCATCACGGGCCGGTGTGTGTGTCCCTGTAAGACAGTAGTGGAGTCCATCACGGGCCGGAGTGTGTGTGTCCCTGTAAGACAGTAGTGGAGTCCATCACGGTCTGGTGTGTGTGTCCTCAGGTCATCAAATCGGCGCGTGTGATGAAGAAAGCGGTCGGGCATCTGATTCCCTTCATGGAGAAGGAGAGGCAGGAAAGGATGTCGGGATCTGATGAAGACGTGGTGAGTGTGATGATGAAGAGGAGCCTGATGATGATCACAGATCTCAGAGAGCATGATGGGACAGTTACTGTGAACTGTTCAGGTTTTGTTATCAGTGATGTGTTTGTGTGTGTGTGTTCTGCAGGACCCGTATCAGGGGACGGTTCTGTTGGCCACGGTGAAGGGAGACGTTCATGATATCGGCAAGAACATTGTGGGAGTCGTGCTGGGATGCAATAACTTCAGGTAAGTGTGTGTGTGTGTTTAAGCACTGCTCCTGGCGTATGATTTGAGGATGTTTTGTATTTAGTGGCCGTTCAGGTGCAGCAGATGTTTGAAGACAGACGAGGAAACGCTGCCATCAGTCATTCTAACCCGACGCTGTGTGTGTGTGTGTGTGTCTCCTTAGGGTCATTGATCTGGGAGTGATGATTCCCTGTGACAGAATCCTGCGGGAGGCCATTCAGAACAAAGCAGGTTTGTGTGTGTGTGTGTGATGTTCTCCTATGGAAGTTAAATAATAACAAATGTTTTTGAAACAAAATGCAACATGGTTGAATATTTAATGTTCATTCTGTTTAAAAATGAAACCTAGAATATTCGACAGGCAAAATACTGAGCGCTTGCTCCATCTCTGTAGTCAGTGTTTATGAATGCGTGACTGTGGTCTGGTGTTGGTCACCGCCGCGTGCGCCCCCTGCTGGTGTTAGCTCTGGTGTTCGTCACCGCCGCGTGCGCCCCCTGCTGGTGAGTGCGCCCCCTGCTGGTGTTAGCTCTGGTGTTCGTCACTCCCGCGTGCGCCCCCTGCTGGTGTTAGCTCTGGTGTTCGTCACTCCCGCGTGCGCCCCCTGCTGGTGTTAGCTCTGGTGTTCGTCACTCCCGCGTGCGCCCCCTGCTGGTGTTAGCTCTGGTGTTCGTCACCGCCGCGTGCGCCCCCTGCTGGTGTTAGCTCTGGTGTTCGTCACCGCCGCGTGCACCCCCTGTTGGTGTTAGCTCTGGTGTTCGTCACCGCCGCGTGCGCCCCCTGCTGGTGAGTGCGCCCCCTGCTGGTGTTAGCTCTGGTGTTCGTCACCGCCGCGTGCGCCCCCTGCTGGTGTTAGCTCTGGTGTTCGTCACTCCCGCGTGCGCCCCCTGCTGGTGTTAGCTCTGGTGTTCGTCACCGCCGCGTGCGCCCCCTGCTGGTGTTAGCTCTGGTGTTTGTCACCGCCGCATGCGCCCCCTGCTGGTGTTAGCTCTGGTGTTCGTCACCGCCGCGTGCGCCCCCTGCTGGTGTTAGCTCTGGTGTTCGTCACCGCCGCGTGCACCCCCTGCTGGTGTTAGCTCTGGTGTTCGTCACCGCCGCGTGCGCCCCCTGCTGGTGTTAGCTCTGGTGTTCGTCACTCCCGCGTGCGCCCCCTGCTGGTGTTAGCTCTGGTGTTCGTCACTCCCGCGTGCGCCCCCTGCTGGTGTTAGCTCTGGTGTTCGTCACCGCCGCGTGCACCCCCTGCTGGTGTTAGCTCTGGTGTTCGTCACTCCCGCGTGCGCCCCCTGCTGGTGTTAGCTCTGGTGTTCGTCACCGCCGCGTGCGCCCCCTGCTGGTGTTAGCTCTGGTGTTCGTCACCGCCGCGTGCGCCCCCTGCTGGTGTTAGCTCTGGTGTTCGTCACCGCCGCGTGCGCCCCCTGCTGGTGTTAGCTCTGGTGTTCGTCACTCCCGCGTGCGCCCCCTGCTGGTGTTAGCTCTGGTGTTCGTCACTCCCGCGTGCGCCCCCTGCTGGTGTTAGCTCTGGTGTTCGTCACCGCCGCGTGCGCCCCCTGCTGGTGTTAGCTCTGGTGTTCGTCACTCCCGCGTGCGCCCCCTGCTGGTGTTAGCTCTGGTGTTCGTCACCGCCGCGTGCGCCCCCTGCTGGTGTTAGCTCTGGTGTTCGTCACTCCCGCGTGCGCCCCCTGCTGGTGAGCCGACTAACAGCAGATCGAGATTACTAATCGGTAATCTACTGCTATTCCTGCAGTTCCAGGAGGTCAAATGTTGAATTTTCTGTCAAATTTGAAACACTGAATTTATAAAGCGAAATAAAATGGACTGAAAATTGCCTGTCGAATATTATATGTTGTATTTTTAAACAGAATGAACATTTTGGAAGTGAAATCTGAAAGGTGAATATGGATTATTGAATTTTTAATCATGTAAATGTGTGTGAAATGTTTTGAAATGAAATATTCACAGCTTAAATATTCAACCATGTTGAATTTCAGCCCATTAAAATGCAAGCTCTAAAAATACACTGCATTAAAATGCAATCAGGGTTAGTGCAATGCTTATTTTTATCAGTTAGTTTTTTCAATTTGTCATTACTTTACTTCCATATTCTCCTCTCTGAACGAGTGTGTTCACACACGCGTGATTCTCTGTGTGTGTGTAGATGTCATCGGCCTCTCCGGTCTCATTACTCCGTCTCTGGATGAAATGATTCACGTGGCCAAAGAAATGGAGCGCCTGGGCCTGAAGACTCCTCTGCTGATCGGCGGAGCGACCACGTCCAAGTACGACTCTGCTCCCGAGGCGCTGACATGCGTATCGATATCGGAGTCTCTTATTGAAATATCAGTAGCTTGACTCTTTTACATGAGTCAGTTCATAGTATCACTCTGATTCATGATTCATGGAGAAGAGTCAAACTGAACAACTGTTTCTGCTGCTGGTATTTAAATAAGAGACACACATCAGTTCTTCAGTTTGAATCTTTTCCATGATTCATTGCATCATCACTCAGAATTATCATATTTTATAATGTTTGAGTGAGATTGATGTAGTTATTGCTTCTAAATATTTATGTTAATTACACTGATGATGCTCTGAAATTTCAAAATGATCCTGTCAGTTATTTAAGAGAATATTATGTTCGTTCATTTATAATGGATGGTACTGGATCGTCTGGTTACGGTGGATGAACTGACAGAAAATCCCATGTTGTGTGTGTGTGTGTGTGTTTTGACAGGACTCACACGGCGGTGAGAATCGCCCCGCGCTACAGCTCACCCGTCGTTCATGTGCTGGACGCGTCCCGCAGCGTAGTAGTGGTGAGACGGATGTCTCTCTCTCTCTCTCTCTCTCTCTCTCTCTCTCTCTCTCTCTCTCTCTCATACAGCACCGGTGTGATTGAGTTAGACGTCCATCAGAATGCGCTCATTGGTTGGTTAGCAGTAGTGATGTGTCAGGGAAGTGTGGAGGCCTGTAGTCAGTGAAACCCAGTTCCAGCAGTGGTTCTCCACAGTTCTGACTGATAGCAAAAGTTCTGAAATTCACCAATACATACAACAAAATCAACAAATGCACATGGATTTGTAAGCTCACCATAAATTCCACAAATACACACATGCTGTGAGAAATACAGGTTACTCCACCTATAACTGCTCAGCCATATATGACACGTATGAACACACTGTTGCATTTTTAATAACTTTTGAGGCCTAAAAAGCTCTTAAAACCGGCTACTGTTTTTGAGGAGTCATATTTGACTGATCGACATATTGAGGAGATAGCGGAGGTAGAGGTTCAGGAGATTCCCCCTTCTATGTAAAGCGCTTTGAGTACCCAGAGGATGATGATGATGATGATATGATGATGATTGTGCAGTGCTCTCAGCTGCTGGATGAAGCTGTGCGTGAGGATTACTTTGAGGAGCTCCGAGACGAGTATGAGGACATCCGACAGGATCATTACGACTCCCTGAAGGTCTGACGGTCACATGACATTCATTTGTATAGCGCTTTTCACAATGCATATCGTCTCAGAGCTTTACAGAAAATGCATGTTTCTACAGTTTAGCGTATTGACTGTGTCCAAATAATGTCCATATGTCAGAAATGTTTTATTTCCAGCTTTATTACCAGTTCTGCTTTTCCACATTCAGGGAGTTATTCTGTGTGACAGAAGCTGCAGTGCGCAGACTGAAGTGTGTGTGTGAGTGTGATGGTGTGTTTGTGTCCTCCAGGACAGACGCTTCTTGTCTCTGAGTCGAGCGCGAGAGAAGGGCCTTCATATAGACTGGCTCTCGCAGACCAGACCAGGTGTGTTTAAACCCGAGAGTCTAACCAGCTGATCGCAGGAGCTGTGTGAGAGAGTGTGTGTGTGTGTGAGTGTGAGAGAGTGTGTGTGTGTGTGTGTGTGTGTGTGTGTGTGTGTGTGTGTGTGTGTGTGTGTGTGTGTGTGTGTGAGAGAGTGAGTGTGCGTGTGTGAGAGTGAGTGTGTGTGTGTGTGTGTGTGTGTGTGTGTGTGTGTGTGTGTGTGTGTGTGTGTGAGATAGGGCTGCAACTAACGATTATTTTGATAATCGATTAATCGGACGATTATTTTTTTCGATTAATCGATTAATCGGATAAAAATTCAATTAGATTTTTTGTTTATTATGACTAAATAAAACCCGGTTACACTTTATTTTAAGGTGTCCTTGTTACAGTGTAATTATATATTTAAGTACAGAGTAATATTAAGTAACTACATGTACTTACTATAGGAATAGGGTAGGATTAGGTTGAGGGTTAGTTGCATGTAATTATGCATAATTTACTGTTATTACTACAGTAAGTACATGTAACATATGTAACAAGGACACCGTAAAATAAAGTGTTACCTAAAACCCTAAATTAGGATATTTATGTGTAAAAGTGTACTTTAAAAAGTGCAAAAGCCACACATTGAGTTTTACAAATATCAATATTTGCATTGTTTTTAATGATAATTGCTGATGGCAAGTTGACAACCATGATTAATGTAAAAAAAAAAAAAAACATTTATATCCAACATATTGTTTTAACACAATTTTTGTTAAAACAAATTTACAGACATGTTGTTCAGATGTGAAGATATAAACTAAAAACATCTCAAATATATAATTCATTTAATTTTTATTTAAAATTTATTGAATTATAAGGATAATTTGTAAAAAATAAATATAGAAAGACCGAAAACAAGCGTGTGAACATAGAGCCGCAGTAGATCGCGTTTGAAAAACAATTAAAACTTAATAGTAGACAAATGCTCTATAAAGAGAACGGAATGGAGGTACGCAGCAAGCTAACAGGCTTGATTAAAAAGACAGGAAAAATGATGCATTAGTGCACAAACATTCGCTGAAAACCACTGAGTACAGTGACTAAAAAACAATAATTTACTGCTGCTGTTATTAACTGCCTTTATATTTAGTGCTTCGCTTTGTAAAGACCGTTTTAATTTAATATTTCTGCGGTAGCACTATTTTAATCCATCACTTATGTTGCGAGCGAACTGATTGCGCAACCTGATGCTCGAGACGCAAAATACAGACATCCCAAGATCCCGGAAGTTCTGGAAGTCACCCGCATATTGATAGCGGCTCGCAAATTAGTTCAAACTCCCGGGATTTGAGCGCGCAAGCAAGAGCGCGCATGCGAGACAGAAGAGACTGTGCTCCAAACCGTGTAGCGCGAGCGCGCGGCAGAGCAACGGAGGGAGAGAGACCTTGCGTGTGTGTGCGTGTGTGCCTCATGAAGCGCGTGTAAGACAGAGAGCATCCTGATTGGCCTGTTTCAACCAATCACCAGTAAACGCTCCCCGTGACGTAAGCAGACCAACTAATCGATAATGACATTCGTTGACAACGATTTTATCGATTAGTTGTTGCAGCCCTAGTGTGAGAGTGAGTGTGCGTGTGTGAGTGAGTGTGAGAGAGTGAGTTTGTATTATCTCAGTTTCAGGAATGACAGAGAATTGCTCTACAGTGTTAGTTATATCAGGAGTGTGTGTGTGTGTGTGTGTGTGTTTTCTCTCAGTGCGGCCGCAGTTCTTGGGCACACGCGTGTTTGACTCGTATGACCTGCGTAAGCTGGTGGACTTCATCGACTGGAAGCCCTTCTTTGACGTGTGGCAGCTGAGGGGCAAATACCCCAACCGCGGATACCCCAAAATATTCAAGGACAAAACCGTGGGTGCGTCTGATTGGCTGCAGGGTCAGCGTACGGAGGTCAGAGGTCAGTGTGGGTGACCTCTCTAATGTGTGTGTGTTTCAGGAGAGGAGGCTCGGCGTGTCCATGATGACGCTGTGAAGCTGCTGAACCGCTTGATTGACAGCGGAGGTCTACAGGCCCGGGGGATTCTGGGATTCTGGCGCGCTCAGAGCGACGGCGATGACATCATCGTGTACGGTGATGATGTCACGTCACATGTCGCCACCTTCCACGGCCTCCGACAGCAGGTGATCAAACCATAGACTAAAACCATAGACTGTAAAAACATGTGCGTAGTGTGTGTGACGTCACCCGTAGTGTTTCTGAGGAGCGTTTCTGAAGCCCAAAGTGGGCGGAGCCAGCCGTCGCCATCTTGGCCGCGCGTCACTCGCGGATAAACGACAATGTGCAGCGAGGCGGATTAGCTGAGGCGACGTGATGCTAACGCTAGCAGACAAACGGCTAGCAGTGACATCAGCGGCAATCCACCTGTCACTCAAGTGGCCACGCCCTTAATTATGCACAGCTTTAAGGCTTAGTATAATTTAAACGGATGAGTTATAAAAAAATTCACCCCCCCTCAGTCGTCATGAAGGGCAACATTAGCGCTATAGACCAAACCCATTTTTAACACCAGACTGTAAACATGTTTATTTCTGCTGTAAAGTTGGGCATTTTAACATGCGGGTCTATGGGACTGAGTCTCTTCTGCAGCCGGCCTCTAGTGGCCAGTGGAGGAACTGCAGGTTAACTCACTCAGTGTCGGATTCAAGAGAGACGGGAAGGTTGCCGCTTTATAGATCAAACAGACCAATCACAGCTCATTCTGCTCTTACACGCATCACATGTTGCACTCCTGATGTTTCCACATGTTCTCCCGCAGGCGGAGAAGGACTCTGCGAGCTCGGAGCCGTACCTGTGCCTGTCGGACTTCGTGGCTCCTCGCGGCAGCGGCGTTCAGGATTACGTGGGTCTGTTCGCAGTGTCCGTGTTCGGAGCGGAAGAGCTCAGCCGCGCGTTTGAGCAGCAGAACGACGATTACAACAGCATCATGGTCAAAGCGCTGGCGGACCGACTCGCTGAGGTAAACCTTCAGAAGCAGTGTTTCAGCCTCATGATGAAAGGGAACTTCTATATTTCTCTACATTAAAATGGTAAAGATCTATGCAAGCTTGTTTCCGCCACAGAATAAAAATAATAAAGGTAATTGCGACTTTTTATCTCACAATTCTGACATTTTATCTCAGAATTGCATGATATTAAGTCGTTATTGCCTGTTATAAAGTCGCAATTGTGTTATAAAGTCAGAATATACAGTGCAGTATTTGAGAGTGTGTTGCAGCTCCAGCGCAGTGTTTGTGTGTGTTGCAGCTCCAGCGCAGTGTTTGAGAGTGTGTTGCAGTTCCAGCGCAGTGTTTGAGTGTGTGTTGCAGCTCCAGCGCAGTGTTTGAGTGTGTGTTGCAGTTCCAGCGCAGTGTTTGAGAGTGTGTTGCAGCTCCAGCGCAGTGTTTGAGTGTGTGTTGCAGCTCCAGCGCAGTGTTTGAGAGTGTGTTGCAGTTCCAGCGCAGTGTTTGAGTGTGTGTTGCAGCTCCAGCGCAGTGTTTGAGTGTGTGTTGCAGCTCCAGCGCAGTGTTTGAGTGTGTGTTGCAGCTCCAGCGCAGTGTTTGAGAGTGTGTTGCAGCTCCAGCGCAGTGTTTGAGTGTGTGTTGCAGCTCCAGCGCAGTGTTTGAGAGTGTGTTGCTGTTCCAGCGCAGTGTTTGAGAGTGTGTTGCTGTTCCAGCGCAGTGTTTGAGAGTGTGTTGCAGTTCCAGCGCAGTGTTTGAGTGTGTGTTGCAGTTCCAGCGCAGTGTTTGAGAGTGTGTTGCAGTTCCAGCGCAGTGTTTGAGTGTGTGTTGCAGCTCCAGCGCAGTGTTTGAGAGTGTGTTGCAGTTCCAGCGCAGTGTTTGAGTGTGTGTTGCAGTTCCAGCGCAGTGTTTGAGTGTGTGTTGCAGCTCCAGCGCAGTGTTTGTGTGTGTGTTGCAGTTCCAGTGCAGTGTTTGAGTGTGTGTTGCAGCTCCAGCGCAGTGTTTGTGTGTGTGTGTTGCAGCTCCAGCGCAGTGTTTGTGTGTGTGTTGCAGTTCCAGTGCAGTGTTTGAGTGTGTGTTGCAGTTCCAGCGCAGTGTTTGAGAGTGTGTTGCAGCTCCAGCGCAGTGTTTGAGTGTGTGTTGCTGTTCCAGCGCAGTGTTTGAGAGTGTGTTGCAGTTCCAGCGCAGTGTTTGAGCGTGTGTTGCAGCTCCAGCGCAGTGTTTGAGTGTGTGTTGCAGTTCCAGCGCAGTGTTTGAGAGTGTGTTGCAGTTCCAGCGCAGTGTTTGAGAGTGTGTTGCAGCTCCAGCGCAGTGTTTGAGAGTGTGTTGCAGTTCCAGCGCAGTGTTTGAGTGTGTTGCAGCTCCAGCGCAGTGTTTGAGAGTGTGTTGCAGTTCCAGCGCAGTGTTTGAGAGTGTGTTGCAGCTCCAGCGCAGTGTTTGAGTGTGTGTTGCAGTTCCAGCGCAGTGTTTGAGTGTGTGTTGCAGCTCCAGCGCAGTGTTTGAGAGTGTGTTGCAGCTCCAGCGCAGTGTTTGAGAGTGTATTGCAGCTCCAGCGCAGTGTTTGAGAGTATGTTGCAGTTCCAGCGCAGTGTTTGAGAGTGTGTTGCAGCTCCAGCGCAGTGTTTGAGTGTGTGTTGCAGCTCCAGCGCAGTGTTTGAGTGTGTGTTGCAGTTCCAGCGCAGTGTTTGAGTGTGTGTTGCAGTTCCAGCGCAGTGTTTGAGTGTGTGTTGCAGCTCCAGCGCAGTGTTTGAGTGTGTGTTGCAGCTCCAGCGCAGTGTTTGAGTGTGTGTTGCAGCTCCAGCGCAGTGTTTGAGTGTGTGTTGCAGTTCCAGCGCAGTGTTTGAGTGTGTTGCAGTTCCAGCGCAGTGTTTGAGTGTGTGTTGCAGCTCCAGCGCAGTGTTTGAGTGTGTGTTGCAGCTCCAGCGCAGTGTTTGTGTGTGTTGCAGCTCCAGCGCAGTGTTTGAGTGTGTGTTGCAGCTCCAGCGCAGTGTTTGTGTGTGTTGCAGCTCCAGCGCAGTGTTTGAGAGTGTGTTGCAGCTCCAGCGCAGTGTTTGAGAGTGTGTTGCAGCTCCAGCGCAGTGTTTGAGTGTGTGTTGCAGCTCCAGCGCAGTGTTTGAGAGTGTGTTGCAGCTCCAGCGCAGTGTTTGAGTGTGTGTTGCAGTTCCAGCGCAGTGTTTGAGTGTGTGTTGCAGCTCCAGCGCAGTGTTTGAGAGTGTGTTGCTGTTCCAGCGCAGTGTTTGAGTGTGTGTTGCAGCTCCAGCGCAGTGTTTGAGTGTGTGTTGCAGTTCCAGCGCAGTGTTTGAGTGTGTGTTGCTGTTCCAGCGCAGTGTTTGAGAGTGTGTTGCAGTTCCAGCGCAGTGTTTGAGAGTGTGTTGCAGCTCCAGCGCAGTGTTTGAGTGTGTGTTGCAGCTCCAGCGCAGTGTTTGAGTGTGTGTTGCAGTTCCAGCGCAGTGTTTGAGTGTGTGTTGCAGTTCCAGCGCAGTGTTTGAGTGTGTGTTGCAGCTCCAGCGCAGTGTTTGAGTGTGTGTTGCAGCTCCAGCGCAGTGTTTGAGTGTGTGTTGCAGCTCCAGCGCAGTGTTTGTGTGTGTTGCAGCTCCAGCGCAGTGTTTGAGTGTGTGTTGCAGCTCCAGCGCAGTGTTTGTGTGTTGCAGCTCCAGCGCAGTGTTTGAGTGTGTGTTGCAGCTCCAGCGCGTGTTTGAGAGTGTGTTGCAGCTCCAGCGCAGTGTTTGAGAGTGTGTTGCAGTTCCAGCGCAGTGTTTGAGAGTGTGTTGCAGCTCCAGCGCAGTGTTTGAGCGTGTGTTGCAGTTCCAGCGCAGTGTTTGAGCGTGTGTTGCAGCTCCAGCGCAGTGTTTGAGCGTGTGTTGCAGCTCCAGCGCAGTGTTTGAGTGTGTGTTGCAGCTCCAGCGCAGTGTTTGAGAGTGTGTTGCAGCTCCAGTGCAGTGTTTGAGAGTGTGTTGCAGTTCCAGCGCAGTGTTTGAGTGTGTGTTGCAGCTCCAGCGCAGTGTTTGAGTGTGTGTTGCAGTTCCAGCGCAGTGTTTGAGTGTGTTGCAGTTCCAGCGCAGTGTTTGAGCGTGTGTTGCAGCTCCAGCGCAGTGTTTGAGTGTGTGTTGCAGCTCCAGCGCAGTGTTTGAGAGTGTGTTGCAACTCCAGCGCAGTGTTTGAGAGTGTGTTGCAGCTCCAGCGCAGTGTTTGAGCGTGTGTTGCAGCTCCAGCGCAGTGTTTGAGTGTGTGTTGCAGTTCCAGTGCAGTGTTTAAGTGTGTGTTCCTCCGCAGGCGTTCGCTGAGGAGCTTCACGCTCGCGTCCGCAGGGACTGGTGGGGTTACAGCGGAGAGGAGGACCTGTCGACCTCTGACCTCCATCGGCTGCGCTACGATGGCATCCGCCCGGCCGCGGGGTATCCCAGTCAGCCCGACCACACCGAGAAACTCACCATGTGGAAACTGGCCGACATTCAGGAGAAAACTGGTACGGTAGCAGAGGCGCGTCAGTGCTGCGCTCCCATTGGCCGTGTGTCTCGCATTGGTGTGTGTGCTCAGGCCTCGTCCACACTAACGCTTCCGTTTGCAAACGCATCGTTTTCTCTCCGCTTCGTCTTCCGGCGACACTGAGACGGCGTTTTATCAATGAAAACTAACCTTTTTGAAAACGCTCTCCAAAGTGGATAAATGTGAAAACGCCTTAAATACAGGTATGTACAAACGATGTAAGTTTAGTCATGTGACGCATATTGTACCAATAGATATTCATGTTTATGCCGGTGTTATGCCTGTTATATCTACTTTCACACTGTTGCTGAAATATGTAAGTTCACACACTCTTCACATCAGTCCTGCACAGGCGACAGAAGTCACTCGCATCTGCTGTCGAAACACAAGAACAGTTTCAGCGCTTTAGACCAAACATATAATAGTGAGTGAGAGCGACCTGGACCATCATGGCTAAATAAAATGATCCTGACAGAAGAATTGCGCGATAACTCTATTATTTATTGTTCCGTCTGTCTCATCTCAGGGCTTCTGTGAGGGTTTACGCATGCGCAGTAAAGGGGAATTTAGCGTTTTCCGAAAGTTTCTCATCCGCACTGAGACGCCTGAAACGCTAGAGTGGACGGAGAGTGTTTTTAAACGATAACGCCGTTTTCACATGTATCGGGATTACTGTAGATGTGGCCTGAGCTGTGATTGGTCGGTTCTGTAGACTGTACACACGGCTCACTCACACATCGGCTGCTTTCGTTTGTTTGTGTGCTTATGAAGTTTGAGTATGCCCTATCCCGTGTGTCTTCATGTTCCGGCAGGAATCGCTCTGACCGAGTCTCTGGCCATGACTCCCGCCGCATCCGTGTCCGGCCTCTACTTCTCCAACCCCAAATCCTGTTATTTCGCTGTGGGAAAAGTGACTAGAGAGCAGGTACGAGCCTCGCGGGGAACAGCAGACAGTGCTGAATGACGGACCCTCTGAGTTTGTTTCAGCAGGTTCATGTGAAAAATTCCCAGATTTTTTATTTTATTTAAATAATTATAATTATTTTCGTAAGACTAAAACTCATCGTTGATCACCAAAATGACATATTTAAACGTTTTTTTTCCACTTCATGTCTTAAAATATCTTGAATGTAACTCGACACCCTCGCCTCATTTAGTATGCGTGGTTCTATGAATATGTAAATAAGCCCCGCCTCCACTCACTCACTCAGCTCAGAGATCCACTGGTTGACGATCACACGTTGATCTGATTGGTTACAAGGTCGTTTGTGACGTCAGAAACACCAGCGATTTCAAACCGTGTTTTTGAGACTGTCTTTGGTTCACTGCAGTTTTAAGGAGGAGATACTCAGCAATGCTGTCGACTTATGAACTTACACATGTGTGTCTTAAAGCACATTAAAAACACCACATAGACACATAAACAACATTAAAGGTGCCCTAGAATGTTTTTTTTTTATTATTTTATAATGTTTCCTGGGTTACCCTTATAATGTTAGTATGTTTTTTAGATAAAAAATAATCATAATTTATAAATAAATGGCATTTTTCCTAGCCTGCTTTTAGCCTCTGATTTGAACACTCTGTTTGAAGGGGCGTGTCTCTGTGGGATTCAGTGTAACCGCGCCCACTGCTGTGATTGGCTGTGGGATTCAGTGTAACCGCGGCCCCTGCTGTGATTGGCTGTGGGATTCAGTGTAACCGCGGCCACTGCTGTGATTGGCTGTGGGATTCAGTGTAACCGCGGCCACTGCTGTGATTGGCTGTGGGATTCAGTGTAACCGCGGCCACTGCTGTGATTGGCTGACATGCTTGCATATGAAATAGCAACGCATTACATGTGAAACTCTCTCTCGAATACTTTTACTACTGCTATTATACGTTTTTACTATAACAGCTATCGAGATTAACGAATCGTGAGATGTTTTTAAAGTATTTAGATCTATTCCCATCACATAAAATGTTGCCGTGATGAGCATTGAGCAGATGACAGTGTGTTGATCGCGAGCATGAAGATCTTATCATTTGCAAAGCAGTTTCTGCTCTCTCTAATGCTTTCACCAATGCAAGCACGATGATGTAAATACAGTAAGAGCTTCGTTGTGCAGTAACGTGCGTCATTGATTTCATAACGAGTTTGGCAAGTGTCCAGATAAACTCGCGCTGTGTGGAAAGATTGTTCTTTGATCGCTTTCTGTATATAATTTGTTCACAATTTAAATACGATTATTTTCATCCTACTAAAAGAAACGATGTGAAGCTGATATTTTAGTCACTGCTTGACTTACTGCTGCATAAACAGTATTGAACGATTTTGAGAGAAAGATGACCTGTCTGAACTTGAACAATTACACATCAGAAAGTGTTGCTTGGTAGCTCGATCCGAGGCCAGCTCTGTATTGGCCCAAGTTGAGGAAACAGCTTCGGCTGCGCAGTTCCGCCTGGCATTGAGGGCTGGCATTATGCAAATATTTGAAGGCGTACATATTAATGATCCCGACTATTGCGTCAGAGTCGGTATTGTGTGGAGAACCGACCATTTTTTAAGGGGTGTTTTTCATAAACGTGAATTAAATGAGAACGCGAAAACAGTCCAGTTTGAGATTCACTCTATGTCATGTCCATGCACTGAACTCTTGTTATTTGACTATACCAAGGTAAATTCAATTTTGAATTATAGGTCACCTTTAAATGCTGGAGATTCAACACAGGGGGACTTATGTAAAATGCATTAAAGGTATTCATAATGTTCGTTATAATGCATTGTATCTTTTCATAAATAATAACCACAGTTAAAATGCATTATAATATTTTCAGATTCCTCCTTTCATCTGAAGTGGGTTGTTTGTCTTGTTTTAATGCATTATACTTTCTAAAGGTGTTCAATAAACAGAACGAATATCTATTATAACTTATTCATGAGATCATACAATGCATTATAAGGTGCGTTACAAAGCATAAATAATGCATTAACAATACTTTTAGAATGCATTATATAAAGGCTTTAAGCAAATTAGCCATTAGTTGACCCTGAATAATTCCGGGTCATGCGCACACTGCACCGGTTCATCACTCTGTCTCTCTCACACAGGTGGAGGACTACGCGCAGCGGAAGCAGATGGCGGTGTGTGAGGTGGAGCGCTGGTTGGGTCCGATCCTGGGCTACGACACCGACTGACGGTGCCAGAACGCTCTCCTCCTGTGATGGACCTTCGTTCGCTCGGTTCTGCTGCTTTTGGCCCAGATCGGGGAGTCCAAACATCCTCTCTTATCCTCACACTACAGAGTCAGCGCCGCTTTTAACTACAGTTCTGTTTTTAACGGAACCGTGACGAACACACTTTCATTTTAGGCCTGGGGGTTTTATAGGTTGATTTCTTATGAAACTCTGTATTAGATTTAAAGAAAATAATGGTAAGAAACACCATCTTAACGACTCGTGCAGATCCTTTAATTATTTCTTTTAGATTCTGATGTCATCATAGAAACGGATCAGTTTTTTTAGACACTGTAAATTCAGTATTAACTTTCTATGTTTGACTTTATGCTCAAATGTGTGTGTGTGTGTGTGTGTGTGTGTGTGTGAGGTCCATAAGAGCAAATGCCTAGTTTTAGTGTTAATATTAGAATATAAGAACCGTTATTAGTGTTTCCATTTTTTTTATTTTAATTTTTCAGTTTGTTGATTTCACACCTGAGAAAAACATTGTGAACATTTCTGATAAGATGAATGTTGAAAGATGTATTCCTATATTTTCATATAAATCTGCACTAAATCAAAACTCTGTGTTTGCTATGGTTGTAATTGTGTAACTATATTTACATTAAGGAGATTATTAATTAATTGATCATTCGGGTTTCAGATCATCAGGTTTAGTTCACACATTCTCACATTATAACTTTACTCTCATATTTCTATCCTAATAATAATATCCCAATATTGTCTTTTACTTTTAAATGAATCATTTGATACAGTGAAATGATAATGTTGTACTTATGTTTAAAAAAATACCTGCACAGTAATTAAAGACACCTAAAATATTAATGTGTAATATTAGCCAGTACTATTGTGTTTTTATTAGAGTTTAGAAAGAGTTACGGTCTATGGAAGGTTTTAAATAGTTTAGTTTCTTCTGTCCATTAATGATTCATGAGTCTGAAGCAGATTTTGCAGCTTTTGTTTTCTTCTTAATCAAAACCAGTAAGAATTATAATCATGTATTATTATAATATCACATTTGTTCTCGGTTTAGATGGGCTGTAACACTAATAGACAACATGAGTGTCACTTATATTTCATACATGCACTCATTGTGTTAATTCAGTGATTCTTGAGATGTTATGTTAATATTTCAATCATTTATAAACACTGTTCCCATTTGGTTATTTTTTGGGAACCAAATAAGGACCTTCCCTGAACGTTCCCTGCAGGATATTTGTAAGTTTTATTTGTATAACCAATTTATGCTGAAATGTCATTTTTCATTAACAAAGTGTATTTTGCTGATGCAGTTTATTAAAACCTGGATAAGATGAGTCAAAACGCATTATAATTTTCGGATAAATCCAATTTTATCACTACAAATATTAAATCAACGTAGTATGAAAAGGATACAGATCATAAATACGCTGTTCGTAACTTTCTTTAAATGCGCGCGCTCCTGTTTTCCACCGAAACCCGCGAACTCGCGTAATTTAAACATAACGGTCATTTCGGTTTGCTGACTGACTAACATTACTTTATCGACCTCTTTATGGAATAATTACTTATAATTAATATAGATATATATACGAGAGTATAGTGTGATTTCAGAGAGATTTGACACGTCTAATTGAAGAGAACCGAGAAGTTTTTTTTACTGACCAAAAGAGGGAAGAACGTCCCGCAAATTCAGTGGTAAGAAATGAATGCAATGTTATAGTTGTTAGCTAATAATTGTAATGTCTGTGAATAAGATTTATATTTTTAAAAAGCCGTATTGTATTGAAGTTATTTGGGGCTTAACGTAAAATCAGTTTCTGTGTAAATCTGTAAATCAGTTAAATTACATATTAATGAATAAAATGAAATAATAAAAAAACGAACGTTCCCAGAACGTTGTAAATTACAAAAGTTTATAGCTGGGCCATAATTTTGCCGTTTAATTTTTCTTTTAAATATACTGTCATAATTAAACATAAAAAGTCGAAATTATGACTTGGTGTGTCATATTTTCGACTTTAAGCTTGATTTATTCTTATTATAGGCTATGCCAGAAATAGGCTTCCATACGGATGAGCTCGTTTAATATTCATGGACATATTCGTTTACATTCATACCTCAAAATGTTTTGAATTCTGTAAGTTCTGGGGCCAAATTGCATAAACATGAACGTGTCTGACCAACAAGCAGTTAATTAGGCCTAATCAGTCTCATTTTCGGATTCAAATTAGACCAATCTACCTTTTATGTAACGTTAACTGACTTAAAAAAGTTATGACCAGTCTTAAAGAAAAACATAAGATGATTAAGTTGTAAGACTAGTCTAAGCAGTTTCTGGAACCGGCCCGGTGTGTGTTAAGGGTCTTGTGTGCGCTGTCCCGTGTTCGCCAGCAGAGGGCGCCCTGCTGCTGCCGCACGCTCATCTGCATAACCCCGCCCTCTGAGTATGCCAGCCGTCCAATGAGAGCGCGGCAGGAGACACCCGTTACACCCGCATCAGAGCCGCGGTCGCGCGCCTGAGAGCTTCATCTGTCCAGCGAGAGGCTCCGAACCCGCGCCGAACCATGACGGACGGAGAGGCCGAAGATGAGATCCAGTTCTTGCGGACCGTGAGTACACGCGTGTGTGTGTGTGTGTGTGTGTGTGTGTGTGTGTGCGCGCGCCGCAGTGGTGCTGATGCTGCGGGAGTCACCGGCATCCGTCCGGATCTGTTGAACGTGGGTGTGAGGAAACTGAGTGTTTATGCAGTGCGTGTGTGTGTGTGTGTGTGTGTGTGTGTGTGTGTGTGTGTGTGTGTGTGTGCCAGCTGCAGTCCTGATGAAGACAGTGTTCAGCTCCACCGCAGACACACACTGTTTACTCTGATGTCATGCTGCATAAATACTGCAGATTGGGTTGAATCAGTCCAGTGCGTATCGATAGATCGTTATTGATCAGTGTGGGAAATGTGGTGCATTAACAGTCAGATGATACAGCAGATCCAGGACCTGCACAATAACACAGAGAGCGGATGATTGATCGGATGCGGACTGTATTGATTGTGAGGTGCTGAGCAGGTGCTAGTGGGTCGTGTTATTTAAGGATGCAAACACTGAAGTTAAAGGGTGAAAGCTGCACTGATCAATCTGTCATGCTCATTATTCTTCGACTGGTCTGATATGGATGCATCAATAATAATACGGCGAGGTCGTATCGCCGGCGCTTCTTTGCATTCCTCAGTGTCGTCAGTGCAGATGTTGTGCAGCGCTGGACTTGGGTTCTGTTGGTCTAGAACCTCATGCATCAGTTCTGCCCGGATTCGATCTGTTAGTTGTTGTTGCAGCACAGAATCCCCTGATGAAGAGATAGAAGTGTTCATCGTGCAGCACAAACACACAGCAGGAAATCATTACCCAGCATTACATGTTGAAAATGGCATTGATTCCCCTCCGCCTGTAACAGCTCAATGCAGCGCGGGCCAGACAGAGCCAAACGCTCTCAGATCGCTGTATGAGGAAGATGAAGATGATGAAGATGCATCTGAACCTCGGGAAGCCTGTCTGGCTCATCTTCACCTCGATATCTCAAAATAATGAACAAAGAAATGAAACCTGGTTTAGTATCAGTAAGATTGAAGATTAAGATTTTTTTGCATTGTGACATTATATTTATGATCATATACAGTATATATATGCATACACTACCGTTCAAAAGTTTGGGGTCGGTAAGATGTGTCTGAAAGAGTCTCTTCTGCTCATCAAAGCTGCTTTTATTTGATCAAAAATACAGTAAAACAGTGACATATTATTCCAGTGTAAATCAGCTGTTCTCTGTGAATATACAGTAAAGTGTAATTTATTCCTGTGATCAAAGCTGATTTTCCAGCATCATTACTCCAGTCTTCAGTGTCACATGATCCTTCAGAAATCACTCTAATATGAGGATCTGATGCGCAAGACACATTTATGATTATTATCAGTGTTGAAAACAGTTGTGCTGATTCAGATTTTATTTTTCAGGATTCTTTGATGAATAGGAAGTTCAAGAGAACAGCATTTATGTGAAATAGTGTCATTCCATGTCAAATCAAGCCAATATTTTTTCAGGAGAAAGACACATAAATAGTGATGAAAGCCAAAATATTAAATGTCATGAATGTATATCAAGATTATTTATTACATTATTTATTCTTCAGTCATTCTCCTTCAAACACAACAGTATCAGCTGAGCCTGTTTTTAAAGTTTTTGACCATTGAAATGAGTAAAATTCTACAAATTGAACGTGCAGTCACATTGGGATCCCCATATCTATGCGATTGAACCATATAGGACATTAAAATTGAAGATTTCAAAAGAAATGTAAAATCATATTGAGATATCTTTAAGACTTCTTGAGTTACAGGCAGGCAAACTTGAGGCTGAAAAACACAAGAAGTGCTTTTTCCCACGTTTGAACGGCCACCGTTGGAATATAACGCAGCACAGATTGCTAAAGTCAACAGATGTACCTAACAGGCCTTCCGGTGTGTGTGTAACCCTGGTGTAGTGATGCTGCGTGTGTTTGCAGTCATTGCCCCGCTCATGCACATCTCAGAAAACGACAAAACACTGGATTATGCAGCAAATATACATACATGACATTTAATATTTTGCCTTTCTTCTTCATTTATGCATTTCTTTCACCAGAAAATTTTTAGAATCTTTTGTAGCATTATAAATGTCTTTACTGTCATTTTTGATCAATGTACATACACTACCATTCAAAACTAAGTCTAAATGTGTGTGTATATATTATTTTATCTATCTATCTATCTATCTATCTATCTATCTATCTATCTATCTATCTATCTATCTATCTATCTATCTATCTATCTATCTATCTATCTATCTATCCATCTATCTATCTGTCTATCTATCTGTCTGTCTATCCATCTATCCATCTATCTGTCTATCTATCTATCTGTCTATCCATCTATCTATCTATCCATCTATCTGTCTGTCTATCTATCCATCTATCTATCTGTCTATCTATCTGTCTGTCTATCCATCTATCCATCTATCTGTCTATCTATCTATCTGTCTATCCATCTATCTATCTATCCATCTATCTGTCTGTCTATCTATCTATCTATCTATCTATCTATCTATCTATCTATCTATCTATCTATCTATCTATCTATCTATCTATCTATCTAATGCATTCAGATGGACTGCATTAATGAGGATGAAACTGAAACATGTTCAATAGTTCTGAACAGATTATCCTCATTTTCTCTAGGCAGCGTATAGTGTTTCTGTTTCTCTGAGCCGCACATGTTTGCGTGAGACGTGTCTGATGTAATCTTACAGACCGGAGTCCTGCAGTGTAACCTGGGAAAGAGATTCTGTAACCGCAGCGTCAAACCGCCTCGCTGCTCTCCTCTGTCTCTCTTCTGTCTCTCTCTCCACACAACATTCAAATTTGATAAGATTCTCCTGTTATATAATCGAGAGGGAAGATAAACGAGCAGAGGAGTGCGGCGCTGTCTCTCTCTCTCTCTCTCTCCTGTCTCTCTCTCTCTCTCTCTCCTGTCTCTCTCTCTCTCTCCTGTCTCTCTCTCTCTCTCCTGTCTCTCTCAGAGTTTGACCTGAAAACACACAGACGTGTCTCGAACACACGACCTCACCGTCCGCGGACACATGGAGTTGAGCCGCTCTGATTGGACGCCTGTCAGCCAATTGCAGCCACCAGCATCTTTGTTTGGATGCATTTCAGTTTTGTTTGATCTCAAGTCATTTGTTACACTTCAAAGCAGATTTACTGTATCCTGACATGTATCATATACTGACAATGACTTCTGGTAATGAGTGTCTATGAACTCTACAGTGATGCGGAACTCATTTTTGGTTATTCAATTATTTTCTGATTTTTTAAGTAGTTTTGGAAGAACTTCCTTTGGTCAATTTACATATTCAAAGTAAGTGAAATCTAAATGGCATATATGTGAATCTATCTACCCATATCTATTTAGCATATGCAGATTCCTCTGGCCAGGGCTGTTGGTCAGAGAGTGTGTGTAAGTCATGAGCATCGTGTAGAGCCTGTTCTAGGCGTACCGTAGTATCGCTCGATTATCTGAAGTTGGTAATAATTAATGGTCACACCTCAGGGATCACACGATGAATCTTCTGGTTAGGGAAGCTCTGGTTAGTGCTGATGCATGTGGTTTTGGTCACCTGTGATGGCATGACATCAGCTCAGCTGTGATTGGGCCGTTGGGTTAGTGCAAGTGATCACATGACTGAGATTGAGAGCAGAGACAACAGAACATTAAACCTTGTGAAAGAGTTCCTGAAGGTGTCTATGTAGTGACCACTGATGAGTGGAGGAACTCGTCCTGATGGTGATGTCTCGAGCCGAGACCTGTGTGTGTGTGTGTGTGTGTGTGAGAGAGAGTGTGTGTTTAATAGAGTCACTGCAGGTTTGTCTGATTTACTGTGTAATTAAGAGACAGAGAAACAGAGAGAGAGAGGAAGAGTTTCTCGCTCTGGTGTCACTGTGATGTAGTGCTGGTGAACCTGTGTGTGTGTGTGTGTGTGTGTGTGTGTGTATATGTGTGGCCTGGCCTACATTAGGGGGACAATATGTCCCCACAAAGATGGCAATATCTGCTTTTGGGGACACTTTTTGATCCGCAATTAGAAAACAATATTATAATACATACAGAATGAGTTTTTTTGAAAATGTAAAAACGAGTTTTGTATGATGGTTAGGTTTAGGGGTCAGGTGTGTGTGTGTGTGTGTGTGTATGTGTGTGAGAGAAAGAGTGAGTGAGTGAGTGCCTGTGTCTGTGTGAGTGAGTGTGTGTGTGGTTGTGAATGTGTGTTTGTGTGTCTGTGTGTGTGTGAGTGTGTGTGTGTGTGTGCGTGTGTGTGTGCATGTTGATGATGTCGGCGCCCATCTGCCTCTTTCAGCAATACGGAAGCATTGCATTCTGGGTGAACCGCACAGACTGCCCCAAACACACAGACAGCGCCGCAGCCGTCACACACGTGTCCGTGCGTGAGGTCATGTGATCCAGGTGAACGAGTGCGATGAGTGAACTAGAGACCATGTGACCGGATGCAGCATTTGTGCGCTTGCCTTCAACGAATGTACACACAACTAGAGGCTGTTTTTAGTGCTTATGTTTATGTTTATGTTTACATGCACTCGTTATCATCATTGCAAATGAATCCAGTCTGAGTTCAGATTCTGAAAGCTCTGTTAATATGAACCCTAAACTCTGCGATCTGATTCAGATATTGGACACGTGTTCAGTCTTATCCAGGGACGGACTGGGACCAAAAAACGGCCCTGGACCTTGACTAGGCCCGGCCCAAAGCAATCGGCGCGAGGAAACTCGACAACAACAACAACGCCTACCGCCTGGCATGAGTGTCATAAGACTTTAATTGTGGCTCATGATCCTATACCAAATTATAGCTAACAACATATTATACAATCTATTCCATGCTGTCTTAAAATTAATTTATTACTTAATAATCTTAATTAATTTATGCAGTAATAAATCTTAGCTACTGCACAAATAATAATACCACATCTAAATGAAAATAGGCAATACCATTACAAATGTAACTTCTGTATTTAAAATCTTCAAAGTTTGTAAGCATCAACTGTAATGTTAACAACATTTTTAAAAGTAAAAGCACAACATATTTCTTAATATTAGCTACTGCATGTGGCATTTTACAGCTAAAATGTTGAAGTTTAGCTGTTTTAACTACTGTAATCATTAAAAATGTAGCAAGCTGAATTAGGCTTGGGCGGTATCCAAATTTTGATACCGTCAAACCTCCTCCCTATTTTACCGCGGTATACGGTATTACCGCGTGATAATTCAAAATTATGACATAAGGCTCAGAAGGCATCACCAAACTGTTGGTTTGAGCAGGGATGAGTCACAATTTTCGAATATTTGATTTTATTATAGAATATGGAATAGGTTGTGGGATTATTGTCTAAAAAAAATCCCCATGTTTTCCGTTCTGATGCGGTGGTGACACGTTCAACCAGAGGGTGGCGATGCCAATAATGCATCTAAAAGCTGTCAATCAACTCTCAGACAACAGGAGAAGATGCACATTGTCTCACACCAGAGCATGCGAGCGGAGTGGTAATATTTCCTCCAGAGCAGAGAGCGCATTTCTGAAGATCCCGCACCGCGTGCTCAGTCCACTCAGCGTCGCGCGCTCAGAACGCCCGAAGTGACATGCTGGTTAGAAAACATGTGAAGTAGGGCTGCCCGTGCACGACTAAAGGTTTTTTTTCTAGTTGACTAGTAGTAGTTGATTTAAGCCATTAGTCTAATCACATATTTATATTGATTAAATTACTTAAATATATATAGGAGAGAATGCTAAACCATAATGAGCGTTTTCGTAATATATTGCCTATTCTGCATCTCAAAGCACGCATAAAGCTTGCCACAAAGAACCGGCAAAAGTAATTATAATGCATGAAACATTTGAATTGTTTATTAATGAAAAACTTTCTATGTCAGTGGCTGCACAGATAAAGTTTACGATGAAGACTCGCATCTTCGCAGTAGTGAACACGCATAGAGAGAAATGCACACTTCATATGAATTAGCCTACACAGAGAGCAGCCCATTTCTTTTAGTTTTTAATTGTTTTGTTTAAAAGTAGACATTTCAAGCTTACTATATATATACACTTCTCAGATATTTAAGGCATCTATCTTATAGCCTACGCTGAGTTTCGTTTTTTTTAGGAGACGCGCTCCAGTTCACGCGCCGGTGCCTCCGTGTCCGGCTTATATTGTCTAATATATATGCTTTTATTTATTACTCCAGGCAATTCGTTGATGAAACATTGATTAAAATTAAGATACAATTTATACAAAACGAAATTCACTTTAAAGAAAGGCTTTCTACAAAACGAAAGCCTCTCACGGAGACTTCAGATGCCCCAACACCTGCGATGAGACGACTCGACGCCGGCGAAATGTTATGCCCTAAATTAATACATGATGATTAACTAACTATATTCTTCTATGTACATTTCTGAAATGCACTTTCTGTAAAGCTGCTTTGAAACAATATGTATTGTGAAAAGCGCTATACAAATAAATTTGAATTGAATTGAATTGAAAACAAAATGTAATAAGTGGTCAAAAATCATGTCTGACCCATTCCAAATGTTTTCCGATATTGGGCATCTTATCATCCTATCTTATTCATCTCATGCAGTTTCCTTTTCATATAATCAACATAGATGAAATAAAAAAATAACAACATTATATTATTAAACATAAATATGAAAAAAAAAACGTTTTTTTTTTTTACTTATAGCCTATTTAAGTGTCACACCGCTCCGCTGTATAGCTGTGTAGCCTACATGCATGTGTGTGTGCATATGGTGGAGGGGTGCGATTTTCGAATAATAATCAAATAATACCAGGCGATCTTCAAATATTATTTTTGCTTGAAATGCCCATCCCTGCCAAACTGCAGAAGTCGTGTTCTTCTTCGAGACCAGGTCACTCGGTGCGCAACTTGCCATCTTTCCCCCTCTCTCCCCCACTCTTTCTCC